GCTTACGGGCGGGACACAGCCATCTGCTGCGAACGATAATAATCGTGATATTCTTGGAACTCCAGAAATATGAAAATTTGAGGTAAAATAATGCAATGCCAACAGTACGTCATAGTCGCACCTTTACCAGCTATCTCGTCTCACGGGCAACGCTTCAGTTTCACATGGGTGTACTAAGATAAACTAAGATAAGCAGACAATTACACAAAACGAGAGATTTATACGAGTACATTCTGTACTCTATAGCGTAAGCCCATGTTCAAGTGTATAAACTTCCTGAGCTTGCGGGCTCGAACTCTGGCGTTTCTTTCAGTGTGGTCCATTCTGAGTATGGCATGAACAACGGCGCACAAGCATGACGCTGTATTCTAGTTTATAGTTTTATAAATGCATAATAAGATCTGTAAAAACCTGATTCCAAATGCAAATTGAAAACGTAACCATCAGTACACAAATATTTGCCTTTTCCAAAGATGGTGCGTTTGAAATGTCCCATTCACACTAGATGCGCCGTCGCCGTCACGTCGTCGTACACTACCGTCAGGCTACATCGGCTCTGTTCGCATCTTTGCCGCTTCATCATTCATTGATATCTGTCTGAGAAAGTTACTCACAGGCACACGAGGCATTACAGGAGCAGGTTCATCTTTTCTTCACCAGTGTTTATTCGAAAACATGACGCACGGGGCCTGGGCTATGTTTACAGTGCATCATAGTAAATACCATATTAACTGGCCGCCTGCAATTATGGGAAACGGTTCTCATTTCAGAAAAATTAAGTCATTTTCATTTCTCCCAGCTCACCATTACCCACCACAAAAACCAGCTGCTATTCGATATCAGTTTGGTTGGAGATGATCACAACCAGCCGCACTTGTGGGTGGCGCGGCCCTGCTCAGGGTCAGTGAGAGCGGGAACGGTCAGCTGGCGTCTGTTTGTTCGGCGCCATGGGTCGGGTCCAGGCTGACCTTCCAGGTGCAGAAGCGTCCGCTCAGTACGGTCGGAGCGGTGCTTCGTCAATACGCGGCTTTCGCGACCTCGTTTTTGGCGCCCGAGCTGCTTACAGCTCTGCGTATAGCTCGGCGCGCTCTGAGTGACACGGCGCTCTGAGTGACACCACACTCTGAGTGACACCGCTCTCTGAGTGACACCGCGCTCTGAGTGACACCGCACTCTGAGTGACACCGCGCTCTGAGTGACACCGCGCTCTGAGTGACACCGCGCTCTGAGTGACACCGCGCTCTGAGTGACACCGCGCTCTGAGTGACACCGCGCTCTGAGTGACACCGCGCTCCGCTCAGTCTCTGGTCACCGTGAGTCACGGCCGTATTCAGTCCGAGGTCATTGTCGATGAGCGTTCCTTTTGAATGTACTTCTCCCGCTCGTTGACCGCCCCGTAATCACCAAAACCAGGTAAGCGGCACCGGAATTTAACCCTGCTGCCTCGCTTGCTTTGGCGACATCCTTACATGCGTCCTTTCATCCCAGTGTTTGAAAGCGTGACATACAATGCCCATTCTTTCCATGACCCACGGGCCAGGGCGCATGTAACAAACAGGTTGGTACTGGTACCTCCAGACGCTTGCTACCACTGTGCCTTTACTGCGTCTTTCACTAATTGCCTGTACATAAGGTAATGACATTTATTCGAAAAAAAACACGTAGGTGTCCTTCTCTCTGTTTCTTCCCGAGCATAATTTTGCCTTGTTAACGTTCCAATCGAAGCACTGTCCTTTGCTGGCACTCTCATTTCACAATACACCGTAACAGTAAGACTATGACAGCTACGACATGGTGGGAATAATACAAACATTCTGAATAAATCAGGTAGGGTATGCTACTCTCGTGGCAGATGCCGCCGACTAAGGGGCACTCAAATAATGGTGGCTGCTATTTTAATCCGCATCGACGTTTGGAGTCGTTCACCCCCTGGCGTGAATACAATAATGACAACCGTGCCTTGTCTGCGGCAAGTACGGATGTTCCAGGGCAATGTGTCGTGTGTACGTCATCACGATGTACCAATCACCTGGCCAGACTGGCTTCGTACTCGCATTCGCCGAGACTAGGTCGATCACGGTGACTGGATTACGGCTGTTTAGACGCCGTACGGCACCAAACGGCTTGTTTTAACAGCACCCTGGTGAGCACGCAGGTCCACAAACGTCTCCTCGGTCACTCGGTGACTGGCGCGTAAACTTCGAATGGTACGGCGCGCATACCAATGAGAGCTTGTTAGTGAAACTGCGGATGGGAGCCCACCAGCCTCGGGCGCTCGTTCTTGGACGATTTGTAGGTATTGTGGCGCGTATCTAGGGCGAGCGCCCATTGCGTATCACCACATCTTTGGCCTTTGGGGACAGCGAAACACCATTCACACGCCTTACCGAGAGAACGCTGAGCACCACAAAGTGGTGAGCTGGGTGAGAACGCTACTGATCATGCACAACCGGCTCGTGCGAGCGAGAGTTTGGCGTACGCGAGCGTAGCACACGTGACAGCCCGGCTGATCATGCGACGCTGATGTTGGGACTCCAAGCCCAGCCTCGTGTCACCTACGTCAGGTCGACAGCCGGCCAGGTGTGTGAGTGACGTCGGAAGTGACGCTCCGGCGCCCGCCCCTCACTCCCAGCCGAGCTGGCCGCCGCTGGCTCGCCGAGCCCCGGGCTCCCAGCGCGTCCCGGCGTCGCGGCGAACCCGCGCTCCGTGACCCGGCCGGCGGACGTGGCGCGGTCCGCGGTCCGCGATCTGCCCCGGGTCTTCCCCGTTCCGCCGGGCGGGTCCGCGTTCCCTGAAGACGGCCGGCGGCGCGGGCCGGCCCGCCCCGACTCGGGCCGTCAGGCGCCGTGTCCAACAGCCTCAGCCGACCGACCGGCGCGGGCCGGCACCGACGCGGTCTGCTGCCGTTCGGGTGCAGGCGTACCCGTCGCTGGTACGACTGAGGGGCGCGCAGGGCCTCAAACTCCGCCACTGGTGGCTCCCAGCCGCGCGGGCGCGCGGTTTGGCCTCTCTGGCGTCATCGAGCACGCCCGCGCGCCCTGCCGCCTGGGTGCAGGTTTTGGTATCTCCCGGTGCAGTGTGGCAATGCGGCTTTCTGATGGCAGTTGGATGCCTGATGCGGCGGAGCATGACTCGGTAATGGGTCGCTTTAAACGGCCCTATCACTGCAGCGGTATTTAGTGACTGCCATGAGGTTTGCGCCACAGTGATTCAATGGTTGTCAGTTTAGAGAGGTTTGTCTGGGGCTCCGTTCGAGGAGGCCCGGGGAGATAAGCTTGCCAGCAATCAGAAATTGGCTTTTGCCTCGTCCAAGTATGCTATTGTAAACACATGTGTTCACTTTTTCGCTTTGATGGTAAGTTGCAATCTTCCATATGACCAACGGGGTGGTTAGAAGAGTTGTTTCGTTTGCCTCAGGTTCAAATTCCAGAGAGAGCGATACGTTGGGCCCTATGCCACGCATGACGGTCAGCTGACAACTGGCCGGGGGGGGGGGGGAGGGGTCAGTCCGACAAGCTGGCACCGAGCGACCTGACCCTGGAACTGTGTGGCACGAAACAGATCGCTCAGAAATCGTGCCTGACGAAAGACCGGATACGAAATGGTCAGGTAATCCGGAGTGGCACTAGATATTTGGCTGGTAGGCTTGGGATGCCAGGAGCAAGCTGTCTTAGGATGCATGCTAAACAATACGTTTTGCCGCTTGCATACAGCACACAACTACACACAGTCATACGGTAAGAAGAGTATATATATATATATATATATATATATATATATATATATATATATATATATAATTACGAACATTGCACATCAGCCTAGGATGTAGTTCCCTTTTCACTTGTTGGGGAGGGGGAGGCGCTCTAGTCTTCCAACCTTGAAACGGAATGAGGCCAAATCCCAGGAGAAATCAGTTTTTTTTTAGTTTGGACCCAGTTTAGCCCAATCAACTTGTTGAAAACTCGACGTACTTTACAAAATTACAGCCCTGCGTCGTGAAAGCAGTGCTGAGTAAGTGCCATATGTAGGACTCTGGCAGCCAATTTTGCTCGGACCGGTTCAAACCAGTTTTGTCGCAACAGCGTGCCGTCACCGGAGGCAGGCCATCACGTGCAGTTCGCCACTCCCTGGCGTGCGTTGTTTGCGGCCGCGCCACCATTTTAATTGCCTTTACTAATCGAAGCCAAGCGAGGCCGCTGAGTGGACGTTTGCGGCGCAGAAACTCCCCACGTGACCCGCCGTCCGTCACGTGACGAACATTGATCGAGAAACGACTCACGGGCCGGCGGCCGACAGGTGGCGCTGGCATTTTACCCGCGACATATTCACTGGTCGATGCCATGGACAGGCACGGGCCGTTGTTTGTTCGCGCCGCACGTTGCTATGGCGACGCAGCAACATGTCGGCGGCTCGTACAAGGTCGCGCCGCCGGTCCTGAGGCGGCTGGCAGGCCCGATGACGCGTGGTCGGGTCGAGTCGAGTCGAGCTGGACGAGTCGTTCGCGTGCCGCGCCGCACGCCGCCGAGTGGATCGCGCGTGCCGGTTGATCGGTGGCGACCGCCGGGCGCCGGAGGGCTTAGCAGGGTCAGTCGTGGCCCGCGCAGCGCGCCGACGAGCTGCCCACCGCAGCATTGGTCGGCGCCGTCGAAGGTTGTAAGATTGACGGGCTTTGGTGATCTGGTGCTGCGTTTCTCCGTGGAGACTAGCAGCGGTGAGTTGTGAATGGTGTGATGACCGGTGCCGCCATGTGGTGACATGATGACGTAGCCTTTGAGTGAGTTATGGGCGGATGATGCCGTGGCATGCGCCTGGCTTGTGGTGAGTGACCGTGCCGTGGTGAGCTGCCGTGATGGTGACTGGGTCGGCGAGCGGCGGCTCAGCGCCCTGACGGCCAGCTGACGCGCGGCCAGGTGAGCCGGCGCCCCTCCGCTGACGCGCCGCGTCCGTCCGCCCGCAGGAGCCGTGGCCGCCGGAGCCTCCTCCGCCGCCGCACGCCCCGCCCGGCCGGCCCCGCAGCGTCGCCGTCCGCCCGCCTCTGCCCGCGCCGCGCCTCTCGCTGCGCCCCGACCTCAACCAGAACTGCGACGCCATGATGGCCGAGACGCCCGACGACGTGACCGTCAAGGGCTTCGACAACCCTGTGTTCGAGGATGACGACAAAGCTGGCGGCACGGCCCGCCTCAACGTCAACCAGGCGAGCAACGATGAGGTGGCCGCCAACCAGGCGCGCAACGGCGCCAAGAAGGACCACGAGGCCGTCAATCTCGAGCTGGTCACCATGACGCCCGAGAAGAACGGCAACGGCGCCGACATCAAAAGCAAGGACGCCGCCATCGACGTGACGTATCACGACGATGGCGAGGGTGGCCAGAACAAGACGCACCGGAAGATGGTCAGGTCAGTCCCACAGCTCAGCGCTGTGTGCCATGTGGCGACGCCCGCACGAAGTGGCGATGGCGTAGAGATGAAAGTTTTATTCACATTTTTTGTTGTGTTCCTTGATCACTTTGAGTATTTTTTTATCCCGAGTTTGTCCAGTTGTCTGCTCTCCACCACATCTCTTTTTTCAATTTAATTTGTTCTCGCAATTTGATGAGGATGCAGTTATCAAGACTTGCCTATGACATGTGTGTATGAATAATAACTGACGGCGGAAAAACCCGAACCTTACGCCAGCTCAGTGGAGGAACCCGGCATTACCTTTTCGTTTTTATAGCCTTTTGTCCACTCACCGAACCTCGGCCCGTTGCCTTTTAATCCTGCACGTGCACGCTCCTCCGACGCTCTGTCTCGGTCGGTCCCTTCCTATTTGGTCACCCGTTGCTGGCCGGCTGGCGGGCGCGCGGACCCCATTGCCACGGTAGACCCACAAAAAGTCGGGCCGTCTGATGTACGCGGTGTCCGCGAGACGTCCCGCCTTCCCGAGCCGCGCTATACGGGGCGCCGCCGGCCGTTTTTTGCCGGCCACTCACGGCTCGTCCCCGCTAAACAGATGCGCCTTCCCGCGGCTGGTGGCGGTCGGAGGTGGGCGTTTTTGCGCGGGCCAGCGACCGATGTTCGGAGGCGCGCTGAAGGTCCGGCCGTGACGCAGGGAGGGCCGGCCATGGCGCCTCTGTGGGGCGCGTGCTCTGGCTGCTCTTGCTCGCCGCTGGAGGCGTGTTGGAACCCGCTCGTGATCAGCGTTCCTCAGCGGGCGTCGTCCGTCTAAATCAAACGGTGCTCTAAAGACCGGCTCGTCAATGTGTGCTACACCAGCGCGAGGTCTGAACGGCGGTAAATAGCGCACCGTGGGTGACAATCTTGTCGGCAACTGGCACCACCGGCCAAAACCTGGCAGTTCCCGTGTCGTTATTCTCTGAACGGACCGATTTATTTACGCTCACGCTTGGTCGACGGCGCGGTGTCGTTTTCACTGATCGCTCGGCCACTCCGATCGAGCGCGGCAGGTATTAACCGGCTCGCTTCGCCCGAATGGAGGCGGGTGTAGACGTGCCGGCCGCTGGAGCACGGGCCCACCCGCGACGCCGACCGACGAGAGCGGCCATCGCCGGCTGGGAAAGTGGTCAGCTGGCATCGCGCGGTCAACTGCAACCGGCCGTGCACGCCACGCCAGGCCTTGTGGGTCGACGGGGCGCCCTCGGGTCACGCCAGCCGAGGCACGCTGCAGGAGCCGGCCAAGCGAGGGGGGGGCATGAGTGCAACGGTGACCTCGCCAGACATGGCGAAGTGCGGCCTGGTTGCGTCGAAGCCGACGCAGTGAGAGTGCAGAATCGATCCGCCTAGTCAGCGCGGCTGCGAGGGATGCTCGAAGGGACCTGAGCGTGACCCTAGCCGACGCTGAGGCTGGCGGTTGGGCGGGGTCTGCGGCCCGCCGTGGAGACTCGTGAAAAACCGGGCACTGCTCGAGGAAAGACCGTGTCGAGCCGAGAAAAACAAAGGACTATGGCGGACGGCTTTTTATGCGGATGAAGCTACGACGCGTCCTAACTAGCCATTTTTCTGCCATGAGCACGGTGCGAAACTGGTGATTGTTTCCTTGAAAATTTTGGCACTTACACATCTCTGTAAATATTTTTCTTTGGCCGATCCTTGTCTGGTAGACCAGCTTAAACGCAGCGTCACTCTTCTAGCAGTGAAGTCGAGTCTTGGCGCCGTCTCCATCTACATGCGACCCAGAAATGCGTGTTAAGGAAAGCAAGTACATTACTTTTTAAGGGCTGTGTCGCACCGAAACCCTCCGTGTTAATGGCTGTCACGCCGCTGATCGTGATCGATTGTCGCTCGCCCGTGGCCTGCGATGACGCACCTCGGGTGCGTGCCAGACATGGGCCGACCCGCGACTGAAGCGGAGGGGGGGCGCGAGGCCAGATGTGAATCGACGCCGCCGTCGCCGCCGGGGCGTCTTTAATCAGGCCGGCGAGTCACGGCACCTCCCGACTGACCTTGACCTGGTCACCGGTCGGGGAGCGCAGACGTGGCTCGGGCCGCCGCCGCCACCGCTGGGGCTGAGCCGCGAGATTACGGCGCGGCCCCCGGTGCGCCAACCTGTCAGGCTATCGCTCCGGGCAGGCATTGAAATGGCAGGCGTGGAGAGAAGTGTGAGCTGCTGAAGGGAGAAAAAAACGGCTGCGTCAGCTTACGTGCGGACGGCTGGGCGCTGCTCGTTTCGCTTTCACTCATTCTGCGTAAACGAGAAGGCCAACGAAACCAAAAGTTGGGGAGCTGGCGGCAGACGGAGTGCGGCCTCACGGCTGGTCCTCGTCTGCTCTGTCGTCGCTGCATGGTGAGGGGCGCTCGCCTAGAAACCGGTTTTGTCACTGCATGCTCTTGCCGCATACCGCTAGCGGCGAAGGCTGATCATTTGGAGCGTCATTAGTCCTAATTGGCTGCGTGGCCTGGGTGCTGGTTTCCAGACCACATCCTCCATGTAGCGCTGCGTACGTGCCTCTTGCGCTATCACTGACGCCTCTCGGGACTCGCGACGGTGTCTCGACCTTGGCAGTCCCCAACACCGGCTCGATTTTGAGAATCAGTAGAGCTCGGCCGCTCAGTAACATGCCTATTGCCTTTATTTGACTTTGAAATTCCCTGCTTTCGAACGCTTGCGCTGCAGCGCCGATCCCCACAGCCAGATTAGGCGCTCGCATTTGCATCACTACATAAATACGTGGCGGCGTCGTCCCCGGAGGACTGGCCCGCTCGACCTGCGGACGCTCGAGCCGCCCGGTAACCATCAGATGCACGTGCAGAGCGGACCCCTGCGGCGAGGGGCTGCGCCGGCCCGATCGATGCCGGGCCTGCCGGCGGCGGTGCTGGTATGACGCGCGGGGAGGCGGCCGACGGCACCGGCCGGCGCCGGCCGGTCCACGGCTTTGCGCCGCCGCCAAAAATCCTCATGATCCGGCCGGGTACCAGACCAACCGGTCTTCGGGTGGCGGGCAGCAGCGCGGCCGGCGCGGCGGCCGCGCTGGGGCCGGCGCCGTCCGCGGCTCGGCCCGTTCGCGCGCCGGCTGGTCTCCGGAGCGATGCAGGCGTGCAATGGCGGGACCGGACCGAGGGCCGTCTGGTCGAGATTCTCAGCGCTTCACGGGGAGGGCAGAGGGCGTGTGTGTGCGGCGACAGGCGGCCCATGCCGGGGGCAGGCTCGGCTCGGTAACAGACCTAGAGCAGCAGTAAATGACCATGCTGGCTGAGGCAGCGTGACACGAAATTCTTCATCACACTTTCACCGAAGTTAGACGTAATGAAAATGGTGTGCCGAAAGAGGGCAGCCGACGAATCGTCATAGAAAAAGCTGACTGGACGGGTAAAGTGATGACAGCTTTGGACACTCAGGCGGGCAAGGTCTCTCATGACGCGCGCACTTTCCTGACGCCTTGCACGACGCTCGATTGATAGACATTCCCCCGGCACGATTCAGTCAGAGCCTTCCGCGCACTGCTATGATTGTTAGCCTGCCGAGCCCCGATCTTCCAAGCTCAGCAACGCGGCACTCTACAAAACTCGACCATCTCCATCCGCGTTTAATCCGCAAAGGGAATCACCATATTCCTCCGCATGGCCCGTGATTTTTTTGTGGACGCCAACCTTTGCTTCTGCACACTGCTCCGATGCCAAGGTTTCCAAAAGTGTGTCTACGTCACAGATGTGTCAATGCTCTTTGCACCAGACAGGTTTCTCCTCTTAGCTCAGGTGTCTCTTGCATTTGGAGTATATCTATGGTGCTGTCTGCTGCAAGAGCTCGTCTCTGATGGTGTACCTCCAGGGCTCGGAGCGCGACTGTGAAACTGGAGCCAAACATGGCGCTACCCCACGGGCGCGCCGCCTTCGTGTGCTGATTTAATCCGGGCGATACCTGGCCACAGAAGGTCGCCACAGCGTCGGTTCGTCGCTGCTGGCTTCTCTGACGTCACGAGCTCCATCCCCGTGCCGTCCCGTATGCTCAGCTGACCGCGTCAGGTGACCGTCCGCCAGCTGAGCGAATGATGACGTAACCAACCGGTCCGACGAGCTGGGAAGCGGCTGGCGAAATCATGAGCTGCGCTGCTGCCTTGCTTTGACATCGAGCTCTGCTCAAGCTCTATGTATTGGGGACGGTGAAAATATGTCGCGAGCCGCGCCGAGTGGTTTGTTGACCGATCCCGGGGAAAGCAGAGAGCTGGTCCCCACGCTCCCGGTGTGGCCAGGCAACAGCGACACCAGAGGCGGCGGAATATGGCCATAGCTCGAGATCACTCTTGACCAACTGCAGGGACATCAAGTCGGCCATGGGAAGGGGCGGGTTGGCGAGGGATTGAGTCTCCGCTGCCTGAGATCTGATGATGTGCCGAAAGGAATTCAAGAACACCCATTTAGCTTCGCTAGCATGCGAGTGGACCTTCAGAGTCACGTAATCTCGTGCGCGCTTTCCTGGCTCGCCGACGGCTGGCCACTGTCTGCGATCAGTATATCGTGGGACCTAGACTTAGTTGCTAGTTATCAGGCAACGGTATTGAACAGGTAATTACTGTTAACGTCCATGCCAGGTTCGTTCAAGTGTGGAACGCTCGATATTTCGTGGAATATGTTCCTGGCCCGCCTGCGCTCCTCGCGGTGAGGTACGGAGGAATATCGAAGCCGCATTTGATGAAGCATCGACTTGAAGAATCAATTATGCAGGCGATCGAAACGGACGCTCCCACATTGGTCAACGACACAACCAGGAACAAAAAAGCGCCCCCGAAACTGAACCCGAAGTGGTGACAGCCACCATTTAAGTCATTCGTCCGCGCAACACCAAGGGGTCAAGCTAAACTTCCCCAAAAAGCACGCGGGGCGGGGTATGGGCGGAGGAGCGAGCCTGACCACGCGGTTTGTTCCCACGCATACGACCCCGATGCCCCACAGCGCTGGCGCGAACTGTCAGCTTGCTGGCTTATCACTCCTGGCCTCCAGGGTGGCCGGCGTTGCGCCGGCATACATGCACTCTTCCAAGACACGCCCGCGCTTCGCACCAGCGTATTAGCCCCCGGGAAGCTCACGTCTCGCCAGGCGGCGGTCGCCTGCAGCGTTCTGCGGGCTTTCCAACCGAATCGCCCGTTGCGTCTGCAGTGCGCCGGAGCGGACCAGCCCGGTCACCGCGCCCCGCTTCCGGCGCCTTCGCATGGCTTTGTCTCGCCACACGACTCCCGCACGAGCCGGGTGCGGGGGAGGGGGCGTGGGCGGGGAGGGGGAGGCGAGTTGCAGTGTCGGCTGGTGCCGGGCACACTGCGAGGGGGCCGTCGCCGCCCGGCCGATGGCAGCGAATTTGCGGCCGATGCCTCACCAACCGGATTGGCCGGGCCAGTTCGGGGCGAGTCCATCCCAGCTCTGCGGCTGGGCTGGCCGGCCTGTGCGCCGCGCTGGCCACGGTCAGGAGTGCATCAGCGCCCCGCGGCGCCGCGGCCACCAACGAGGCGCTTCCGGTCCGACCACGGCGACTGTGGGCGAATCTGAGGCCGGTGACCGAGGCCTCTGGCCAACGAACTGGGTTTGACTGCATTCTGAAGCGTGACCGTGCATGGGCTGGCCGACCAGTTCAGAATGTGACCTTTGGCTGCTGGTCAGGGGCCTGGCCAGGTCCCAGCATGGCACAGGGCTACCGATCCTGATGGGACGGCGAATTCTGGACAGTTTGGTATGAGCAGCACAGCGCACTGCTGTATCCAGATTGCACCACGCCGATATTGGACCATCGCAGCCCGCTAGAGAGGAGGGGGGGGGGGGGGGGAGAATGAGGTAATCAAGCTATTTCGTTGCTGCTTTGCCGACGCACGAATGGCTTCCTCTTGCAATGTCATCATTGCCAGTCAGGTGACCTTCCACCGGAGCGCGGGTCTCAGCGTGGCGGGAGATCCCAGAAGCGATGCGGCGGCGGTGGCCTCTCGTGCTGACGGCTCGGGAGGCGGCGGCGAGCACCGCTGCTCGCCGGGAAGTTCCGAGGCCTGGTCGAGCCCGGAGCCGGATCTGACGGCTTAGCGCCGGCGCGGGAGAGCTGCCGGCTGCGCGTTGCTCCTAGCGACATGGGCCGCGCGGCACGAGCACGCGGCGCCGCTCGGACCGCGCCGCGCTCGCGCCACTGGACCGCTTGTCGCGCCGTAACTGCGCAGCGCGGCGGGGCCAGTACTGCACGAGCCCATCTGCATGGCCCTGCACGGCATCGGTCACGCTTGCTGCTTGGGAGCTGAAGGGCAGGAGTCAGGATCACTAGGGGCGCCGGTCGGGGTCCGTGTTCGGCGAGTCTATCGCGCGGGGACGGTGCCACGCGCTAGGCTAAGCATGTGTGCAAATGTCGGGGTCTCCAAAGTTGAGCCCCTGAACATATGCTGATGTCTTGGAGTGCATACGGCTAGTACTTGGCGTTTCAAATGTCAAATGGCTTGCAGGCTATTGCCAGTATCTTTCATCGGTCATCGTCATCGTCAGACGGAATGCTCTGTATGACATGAAATGTTCGCTCTACGTTCTATGTTCTTGGAGTGCTTACGGCTAGTACTTGGTGTTTCAAATGTCAAATGGCTTGCAGGCTATTGCCAGTATCTTTCATCGGTCATCGTCATCGTCAGACAGAATGCTCTGTATGACATGAAATGTTCGCTCTACGCATGATTCATCCAGCATGCACACAAGCCTTGAAAGCCCGCTTTGAGACGTCACGATTTTTAATGACATTCGGTCTTTAGATCGACAGTTGCTTAAGATTTTTGCTAATTTTCGAAAGCCGGACGAGGCAGCCCATCTACATGACAGCTTTTATTGGTGATGTTCTGACGAGCCAATCACGTCGCGTTCCACGTCGGGTTGACCTTGAGGTCGCTATCGGCATGACCGACACGCCAGACAGGTGACGCGCCAGCCTTGTTGTGGTGCAGTGGTCCGGTCACGACACGCGACAGAGGAGACCGTGTGACCTCCAGCAGCCTTTGAGCGAGCTTCGGTTTCTGAATACACCTGTTCATAGATGCGTGGACGGCGTTCATATGAAACCTTGAGCTGGCTTGTTTGTTCCGCAGAGCATAGATCCACTGCGCTGGGAAACATACCAGCAATCCCTAACTTTTTTGGAGGCCCTTTTCCCCTCTGTCGTGACTGACACCGTACATACTTTACCATGGTGTCTCGGAACAGCACGAAAGGTGAAGTATGTGCTCTTCTTGTTGAGCAATTACAAAAAAGCGGTGATTTCACAACATCAGCCGTATTGAGATATTCAGTTAAGGTAAAGCGAACAACGTCTAGCACCAAAAACACGCCTTCCGCCGCCCGCGTTCACCGTGGTTACGCGCCGAGCGGCCCACGACAGACGCGCGCACCACTCCCGCCTGATGCTGCCCCGAACTCCACAGACGCGCGCACCACTCCCGCATGACTCTGCCCCGTACTCCACGGACGCGCGCACCACTCCCGCCTGACGCTGCTCCACAGACGCGCGCACCACTCCCGCCTGACACTGCCCCGAACTCCACAGACGCGCGCACCACTCCCGCCTGACGCTGCCCCGTACTCCACGGACGCCCACACCACTCCCGCCTGACACTGTCCCGTACTCCACAGTTTGCTGGCACGGCTGACACTGACCTCGTCGCTGTTATCCAGGGGCGAGAAGTACTACCCGGGCGGCCGCGAGGGCACCGCCAAGCAGCGCTGGATATGCTGGGGCGGCATCCTGGCTGTCGTGCTCACCGTCATCATCTTCATCATCCTGCTGTCGAGTGAGTGCGCGGCGGTTTGTCGTGAGCGGCGGACGCGGCGGGTTTCGCTGGTGGGATCACGATCCACGGCCGCGAGTCGGCCGACGCGCGCGCGGCTCGCGTCCGCGTGTCTCCGCGGTGCGGCTCTCGAGGAGGGTTTAGAGAGGTCACACAGGAGAACCGCTCTTGCTGGCGCCGCGTGGGTGTGGTCATGTAGGATCGTGAACGCAGGGGTATAAGGGAGGAAAACAGTGCCGAAAGGTTGCAGAATTCATGATTTCACTTTGCTAAATTCAGTGGAATGTGTTACAGTGTGCTGATGAGGTCACATACAGCTCAAAAGCACAGCACAGCAGCTCAGCGGCATGCATAGCTCACATTTGGTGTTCATGGAACATAGGTGTTCAGCATAGTTCCGTTTGTGATTTTGTAGATATTCCCTCAAATAATGAAATAATGCCTGCACAAAATATCATGTGGAGTGTTGCACCATTGAAACGGAGTCTCATACAGTTCAAGGTCCAGAATTGCTGGTCACGCACAGCGGCAACTTTGTCTGAGCGCTATAGCTGAAGTTCCCACGCGAACGCCAGACGTGTCACATTCGTGTGTGCTGTTCACGATGCAGGTATTCCATGTTCTTTGAGACAGACGGGACGACGGGGGATTCCATGAAATCCGTTTCAAAACAGCAGCAACCGTAAAACACGGCAAGCTAGTTTTCTTAACTATAGTCTGCGTCCACTGGCGTGATGCCTGCGCCGGTGGCACATTGCCGACCGGTTTGTCGCCCCGAACAGCAGCGGTGTAAGCCTTTAAGAAGGATACGGCAACTGCACTGTTTGAATTCATTTTTTGTGCACCGTCAGATGGTCAATGCCCACTTTCACCACCAATAGGTAGCGGTCCTCTGAGCTCCTCCTTTCATCCTGTTTGCACACGGCTACGAATTCGGAGGCAGGCATGAAGTGCCTTGGCATAGATCGGCTTTACCGGATGGCATGCGGTGTGACAGTGGCCCCGTGGCTAAGCGCATTGCCCGTGCATGTAATTGGCCTAGGCGACAGAGTGCCCGGCTGAGCCGACGCTTCAGCCACACCCCCAGTCAACGGCCACTCGCCGCCCCTCGCCAGACCCCATAGCCTGCCGCCACTTTCTCCAGGCTCCCCCACCGCTGCACACCGGTCCCCGGTGCGCGCGCGCGCCACTTTCTCCGACTCCCCCTATACCGGGCCGGCGGCGGCTGCTCCAGCTGGTCCGCGGCCGGCCGCCGACCAGCCGCCTGCAGCCGACAGCGGCGGCCGGCCGGGGATGGGTCGGCGCGTCTTGTGACCACCGTCACCGGCCGGCCGGAGCGGCGCCGTGCCAGGCACGGCCGCCGGCGCCGCTCCGTCCGCCGTCAGGGTCGCTGACGAAGCGGCTCGCAGCCGGCCGGCCGGCGCACGGCCGCCTCCGGGTTCGGTCAGCGGTGGAGCCAGCGGGGCGGGGCCTCCGACTGTGCGGTGGGGGTGCAACGTCCCTGAACTGTGACGAAGAGGGGGAGCTGAGCGTGCTTGCAAGGATGGGCTGGTGGAAAACAGGACCGTTTAGTTCAAATCCTGTCCAAACAATGTTATTGATTTGAGACAACGAGAAGGCGAATTGCAAGGAATGTGGATTGTACGTGGGACCGGACTACCATCCGTTAGATATCAGCTCTTCGAATTACGTGAGATATTTCCGCAGGCATGGAGACCGGAGCGAGGGGGGCCGCGAGTGAGCAATATACTCCATGGGGGTAGCATAAAGACTATCGTTCTGCGGAGATGGCGGGATGTGCAGAACGAAACAATATGAAACTAAGGGCGATTCACGATTTCCAAATAGTGGTTCATCCACTGTTTCGGACGTACCCTGGCAGATCAAACACGATCATGTTGTCACAATACTAAAACTTGCGAGCACGGGAGATGTGCTGGTACTGGGATTCGGTCATCAGCAAGGCAATCAATGATCGTCACCGAGACAACAGTGATTGCATCACGGGCTCACCGGTGGGGGGGGGGGGGGGGGACTCGAGGTAATAAGACACATGCTGTACTGTAGCTGGTGCACCGTTCCACCGCGCCTTTCCTCCACTGTAATATCTGTGCTGGACTTGGGTTACTGGTGTAACCAATGTGCAAAGGGCGGGGGACTATGTCCTTGAGTTTGCTAGACAGGCTGCCGCCCGAGACTGATCACAAGATTGATCCCAGTTGTTTTCAAGAGAATGATCACGGTTTTCACATATTTGCCTTCAGAAATACCATCTCAGGTCGGGTTGCCTCTCATATCCGAATGTTCCCTTTTAGTTGCGAGGAAGGAGCTGTATCCACTATTTAAAACGTGGTTTTATAATGCGAGTTTATAGTCTTTGCAGATTGACTTTGCCAGTTAGGTGCTATTCCTTAATGACACTGCAGGCATATGCCATGCTCTCCGGGCTGGTGAGCATGTTCAACCGCAGGAGAACTAAGCATTCACTGATCCGAATAACCTAAACCGGTCTTTTCCACAGCTGGAGTGTTTTCAAGCGACGAAGCTGCCGGGAACGACACTACCGTCAACGGAGATACCCAAGCCATAGCGAACGTGGAGCCATCTGGCGGGGGCGCCGCAACTTCTGATACGCCCCCACCTCCACCAAGCACACCAATAGGTGTGTTGAAGCCGGTGGAACATTGGGGGAGCGGATGAAACTAGTATACAATAGACAACAGTAATCACTCACAATACTCACACATTCAGAACCGCTACAGCCCATTTGCCCCTCCAAAAGTGAGCAGTTACACGTTTGCCAGCCATGTGCTCAGGGTCGTTCTTTTGGATTCTATCATATAACAGCTCAAGTTTTCACAATCAAGGCTGCGGTAGTGTTCAAGGGCATCGAAATCAGCGGTAATTCGCCATGGCATCGTATGGTACGACGTTGATCACTCTGCCTTTGCAGTCGACTCTGTGTTTTCTGGGTCCTTACGGCTGAATGAAGAATTCAGAGACGCTCTCTATGACAAGACTTCTCCAGAATTCATGCAAATGAAGAGAACAGTCGAGGATCAGGTAACGGCTCGCATAATGTTCTCTGCTGATGTCATGCCCTTGTATGCGCATTCATTCGTCATTTCTTGCGACATTTAATGTGTTTACGCCGAAGATAAAACCACAATGCTTCTAAGTTTTGCTACCAGAACGACATGTCCAATGGCTCATGGCGTGCTTGGCTACTTACAGGCACTCTGTTGGTCATCTCATCCCCAGGCTTCGCGCCGCACTAATCCGTGTCCTCCCACCGCAGCTTGACGAGGCGTACTCGGTGTACAACTGGCCTGAGGGCAGTGACCTCGGCACGATCCGCACTCAGGTCAACAGCTTCAGGTGAGTGTCCTCCGACCCAGAGCAGCCCGAGGGCACTGCAGGCGGTTGCGTGCCAGTGAGACGCCCCTATTGCGGAGAAATCCAGCCATTGAAAAGGATTTTGTTTGAGTTTAATGTGCACTTGCTAGCCAAACATCCGTAGTTCTCACCAAACCAACGAAGCCTGCGGTGGTTTGAGCCCGGTGAGCAGGTCGTGACGTCACTTACCTATTGTTAACTTGCAAGACCATGATAAATGTCTCAGTCGTGGGATTAAGAATTCCGTGAATAGCTCGTGACTACGTTTGCAGTTTGCTAACTTCATCTCAGCGAACACTGCAAGCCACCGTTGCAGCTGCATTCGAACGTACCCTCTATGGTGATTCTACACCAACGTGCCCTGGGTGCTGCGAACTACCGTGACCTTTAGCAATGCCTCCCGGCTGCCGTGGAGTACCGAGACCAATGGCCGCATTGGGAGGCGCCATTGCCTACCGCGACGTGCGCTGGGACGCCGTGGCATTCCGCGATCTCCTGCGACGCCCGCGCGCGCCACGTCCCTTCCGTGACGCGCCCGTCGTCCGCAGCCCCGGCAGCGTGATGGTCGACTACGACGTGGCGGCGGACCACGTGCAGTCGGTGTCGCCGGCGGAGGCGAGCCGCCGCCTGGAGCGTCGTCTCGAGCAGTACCTGACCGCTGGGCAGCTGCCCGCGTCCGAGATCCTCATCAAACGTCAGTGGCGCCGCCGCCGCCGGCCGGATCACGCGCGGCGACGGCGTGTGCCGGGCCCGCGGCGCTTACTGACAGATGTCGAGCCTGAGTTGACGGAACAGTGGTTTGCCTTCGAGCACTTCTGAAAGCGAGTAATCCGAGCAGGCGACGGGCCGGACAGGCGTCGGGCGCGATGCTCAACTTCGGACAAAAGCCTCGCTGTGACTCACATTTCCCCGTAGTGGGCGTCGCTATCGAGCCAGTGACGGGTATCGAGGTGTGCGAGTTAGGACATGTCGGACCGTTGCGCTGTGCTCGCTCGCTTGGCGCGTGCCGTGCGCTGACGAGCGCGCCTGTCCCGCCGCAGCGATGGAGGACCTGTGCGCCATGGGTCAGTCCGGCTGCTCTCATGAGTGCAACTTCTCCTTCACGAGCCTGGAGTTCGTCTGTCTCTGCCCGGCCGGCATGGAGATCGGTGACGACCTCAAGAACTGCGTGTTCGCAGGTGAGCGACCGGCGGGGTCTTGGAGTCGCCGCTGCAAGAGGTGACTGGCTTGGAACGGACAAAAGTGCACTTATCCCTTGCCAGAACTGTTGACCTGGTTCTGGTGCAGCCTGTTGGTCCTGTGCGTGATGGTCCTAAGTTGCCGTAAGGCAGTTTAGGTAGACTAAAGGCGCAGGTTATTGTAATGCGTCTACTTAATTGCATGCACATATCTGGGAAATTACACCTGATTTTCAAGACTTCGGTGAAGATATTCAGCTGATGTAATGAGATGTTTCCTGTCGCACGGCAGCACCAGCCATCCAGGAGATGCATCCCGACATCCACCACATCGAGGACCCGGTACTGGAGCCGTCGCTGCATCCAGACACCACATACAACGTGGACCATGCGTGGATTCACGAAGGCACGGAGACCACCCCCGAACCGGAGCCGGAGACGACCGCCGCGCCGCACGACCACGACCACGACCACGACCACGACCACGACCACGATCACCACTTCCACGACCATGGTCTGTTCGGGGACATGGGCGAGGAGACCACCCCACAGGCGGAGCCGGAGACCACGGCGACGCCTCTGGGCCACGACGACTGGTTCGGACTGGTGGACCACTCGGTGCACGAGCACGGCGAGACGACCACCCCGGAGCCGGAGCCGGAGACCACGCCGGAGCCGGAGCCGGAGACCACGACGGAGCCTGGCGATTTCCTGTCGCTGTTCAATGAGGAGTATCCGGAGACGACTCCGGAGCCGGAGCCGGAGACCACTGCGGAGCCGGAGCCGGAGACCACGGCGGAGCCGGAGCCGGAGACCACGGCGTACCCGGTCGAGGAAGCGGTGCCCTTCGGCGTCGCGCCGAAGCTGGATGCGGCTAAGCCGCAGTTCGGTAAGTGCCGGATCCTGCTCCATCTGCCGCTTCCGCATCCGGACAGAGATGACTGAACTGCTCGCGCGTTAAGAAGTGTGGCGCTCCAGAGAAGACGGGAACGTTGTTGATGTCGGAGCTTTACGTAAGAACTGTCAGTGCGTTAATGAAAAATAAGTACTGAACCCAATTTAAGCCTTCTTCATGACATCCCAGGGAGTTCCAAGCGACTTATATCAGTATCACTGGTTTCCTTTAGCCTCCATGATGTGCCGAGACCCGGCTTTGTCTATGAACTCGGAAGCCTTCGGCTGTACAACGAAAACGTAATCTCGTTTTCAGTTCCGTCACTGTTCAACGCATCGCTGCGACTGGATGAGAAGTTCCCCGAATCTCTGCACGACAACACCTCTTCCGACTATCTCAAGATGATGGTCAGAGTCAGGAAGGAGGTACGCCACCCTGAAGATTTCCATACGCAAATTTGTAGCTTTGATTACAAACTGGATGGGTGACACCGGTAAAGATAATTTTCCCCTCACATCGCCCAGTCAATTTGCTTAGTCTTAATTACTGTGTTTCTGTGACGTGTAATACCTTGCCGCACCTCGCCCACCCGGCTTGACGCCGGTCAGAGGCCTCGCCCGTCCTTTCACCTTCTCCGCGTCGCCGACAGATGGCAGAGGCGTTCTCGGGCTTCAATTGGTCCGAGGGCGACGACCTGGGGCCGATCGGCATCAAGATCAGAAAGTTCGGGTAAGAGACGCGTCTGGGGCGTTAGCAACGGCCCTGCTTCCCCTTCGCGGCGCTGCGGGGTTTATATGAGATTAGAACTGTAACATAAGAGTTACATGATCAGGTGTACTGCATCGTTTGCTGCTGCTTAAAACCGTCATCGACAGCTGTCAACGCGTGAGAGGCCTGGACATGCCCGGCACAGCTGGCCTCGGTGATCGCATGAAATAGCAGCACGAACCCAGAATCAGCGCTCTCGTCCCTGAAGGACACAACCACTTCAGTCGGGGGAACGCCGTATGATCTATTCAGCTTCGAGTCAGCGTGACGCGCTCGTGTGCTCTGATTGCTCTGATGCTCACGCCGTGCCAGAAGTTTCGTCGCCTGGACCCATGCAGCTTCTCTGTCCCGTCACTATTGAAATAGTCGTGCCTTCACACGAATGAGACCCAGAAGGAACCCAGAGAGGTTGAAAGAATCACGTGCTTGCTCGAGATACTTGTGATACGGATTAAACGTGTTAACAACGTAATGAATGAATAATGAACATAGCTTGAACATAATTAACGTAGCAAAATATCACTCATTTTCTTGGATCTGGAGCCGTCACGTGACGCGGAGGGCACGTCTCCAGGCCGGGCAGCATCGTGGTGTACTACCAGATCACCACAGGGGACGTGTCTGGGCTGAGCGCCGAGGAGGTGGCGCAGCGTCTGCAGTACCGCCTGGAGGACTATTTCACCAGCACAGAGGGTCGGCTCTACCACGGCGCCCGCTTCCCGGTCTCCGACATCATGGTCGAACGTACGCAGCCCGAGGCAGGGGGCCTGCCCCCGAGCTGGAGGGAAGGCCGGGAGGGAAGGATCATGGGAGGAATAATGCTACACGCGCGCGTTGACGCTGGTGCCAGATTTGAGTGGCTCTTCCTGATATTGCAGTTTTTTTCGCCTTACCGCTAGGCATAACACGTTTCGAAAAGTTTGACGCATCGCTAAATTTGGCACCTGTTTCCGTGGTCTGGTCGCGATTTTCACGAATATTTGAGAATACCAACGACTGTAGCTCTTTCTGGGTGATGCAGTGATGGAGACCATTATGTTGTGGTGTGGTGGACGTGGAACAGTGGTCCGATATGAAACAAATACCTGGCGATGTCTAGTACACAATCTGCCGGGCAATATTGTGGACCTAAACTTCACACTGATGCTGGGTTAACCAGACGGCAGCATCAAAAGCTGACATTCGACTGTGTGCTCTTCTGAAACCGCCTCCGGATGGTGTCCTGGTCCGGCGCTGAGCCCCTGGCGTCCTGGTCTGGAACAGGACCTCGATGGTGTCTTGGTCCAGCACTGATCCCCTGGCATCCCGGTCTGGAACAGAACCTCGATGGTGTCCTGGTCCGGCGCTGATCCCCTGGCGTCCTGGTCTGAAACAGGGCCTTAATTGTATCCTGGTCTGGCGCTGAGCCCCTGGCGTCCTGGTGTGGAACAGGACCTCGATGGTGTCCTGGGCCGGCGCTGAACCCCTGGCTTCCTGGTCTGGAACAGGGCCTCGATGGCGTCCTGGTCCAGAGTTGGGTCCAGCTGGTGTCCCATGTCTGGTTGCGACTCACTACGCTGGACAGTCCCCCCCCCCCCCTCCTGCCCGCCCTGTGACTCTGACCCGGTGCTCTGATCCCCAGCGTTCCGTGACCTGTGTGCCAGCGGCGAGTCGGGCTGCTCGCACAAGTGCTACTTCTCGGCGGCCGACAATGCCTTCCTCTGCCACTGCCCCGAGGGCATGGAGCTTGGCGACGACGCCAAGACATGCATGCATTTGCACGGAGGTCAGTCTGCGACCGAGTGCACTGTGCTGGCGCATGCAGGTCGGCGGGCGATAGTTCAGCGTTCCGCAATGCCGTTTGTCGGATCGGTCGTCGCAGGGGTTCGAGCGGTCGCGTGGCTCATCTCCGTAGCATTTTCTCGAGCAGGGTGTGTTAATCTTTAGTATATTAGAAGGACCCACTAAGCACTAGGGTGTAAGCATAGCCTATCGTAGGTGTAAAGTAAAATGATATCAATGACCGAGCGAAGTACCGCGCAACAATAGATCACGGCTGCCGCCTCAGGCCCTGTGAAGATCACGCCGGCCTCAGCCAGGTCACGCCGGCCATACCAAGGTCACGCCAGGCTTGGTCACACACTGCGCGTAAAAATTGGGATGTGCAATAATGCATTTAAAATATTTCGTCCTTTGGTGTGTCAGTCAGTCAGTCGACACCGGTTGTCGACAAAAATTAGGCCGGTAGTGGGCATCGAACCCAAGGCCTCGCACGCGCCCGTGGTCGAAGGCCGCGCCAACTGCGCCACGATGGCGAGTTGTAGATCGCCTTCGTCTGCTGACCGGGTGTCGTCTCTTCGCTCACAGTGCCGCCGGTAGTGACGGTGTGGGACGGCCAGCAGTGGAAGCACCCGGATGACGCGACCACCGCCGAGCCGGAGCCGCAGCCGACAGACGGGCCCTTCACGGACCACCCGTGGCTGAGGGCCGACACGGAAACCACAACGGAGTCCGCGCCGCACGACCACGACCACCACTCGCACGACCATGGCCTGCTCGGGGACGTAGGCGGGGAGACCACCCCGGAGCCGGAGCCGGAGACGACCGCCGCGCCGCACGACCACGACCACCACTTGCACGACCATGGCCTGTTCGGGGACGTGGGCGGGGAGACCACCCCGGAGCCAGAAGCGGAGACGACCGCCGGGCCGCACGACCACGACCACCACTTGCACGACCATGGCCTGTTCGGGGACGTGGGCGGGGAGACCACCCCGGGGCCGGAGCCGGAGGACGACCGCCGCGCCGCACGACCACGACCACCACTTGCACGACCATGGCCTGTTCGGGGACGTGGACGGGGAGACCACCCCGGAACCGGAACCGGAAACGACCGCCGCGCCGCACGATCATGACCACCACTCGCACGACCATGGCCTGTTCGGGGACGTGGGTGGGGAGACCACCCCGGAGCCAGAAGCGGAGACGACCGCCGCGCCGCACGACCACGACCACCACTTGCACGACCATGGCCTGTTCGGGGACGTGGGTGGGGAGACCACCCCGGAGCCGGAAGCGGAGACCACGGCGACGCCTCTGGGCCACGACGACTGGTTCGGACTGGTGGACCACTCAGCCCACGAGCACGGCGAGACGACTACCCCGGAGCCGGAGCCGGAGACCACGCCGGAGCCGCAGTTGGAGACCACACCAGGTGCGGTCGATCTCGCGGCGCTTCTCGGCGCGGCCTTGTCGGAGTCGGAGTCTGCCAGTACGGAGCACCCCGACCTGGCCACCCTCCTCGGCGGCGCACTCGCGGGCACGACGCCGGAGACGGCGACGACGGCCGAGCCGGAGCCTCAGAGTACGACGCTGCCTGGGGGGCCGGCGCCAGTGACGCCTGGCCCGGACTCCGAGACGACGCCGGCCCCCGAGGAGGCCACCAGCGGCGCCCCGCTCGACGGCGAGACGACGACACAGGGGCCGGAGTCGGAGACGACACCGCTGCCGCCCGGCGGGGCCGCGCTGCAGCCCGACGGCGACGCAATCAGCCTGCACGAGAAGTTGTCGCGGATGAACGCCATGGGGATCGCGCCCGAGTGGGAAAGTCACGGCGCCACAACGACGCCCGAGCCGGAGACGGAGACCACGACCGAGCCGGCGCCCACGGCCGAGACGGCGGCTGAGGTCGAGAGCGGTGACGCCCTGATGGCGCTCGAGGGGCTAGGCGCCGCCGAGAACGGCACAGAGACAAAAAAGGCGGCGGACAACAACGAGGTACCGGGTGAGCCGGTGAACCCGCCGTCGCTGATGGAGGACGAGATGCACCATGGTACGCGCCACGAGGAAGCTGAGCTGCTGCCGGTCAACAACAGCCTGGACGACCGGCGCCGCGCCAAGGTGCTGGAGGAGATGGCGGAGGAGGCGAATGCCACAGAGCCGACCACGACTGCGGAGCCTGGACAGGAGTCCGACGACCGCCGCCGGGCCGGCGACTGATGGTGTAACGACGCCGGCGCCAGGTGCTGGCGAGGCTGCTGAAGCCCCCACCACCCCTGAGCCGGAGTCCGCATCGGGAACCACCGAGGGCGCGTCGGCGGGCGACGCGACGACGCCCGAGCCGGAGCCAGCTGCCACGGAGGTCAGCGAGGAGGCGAAGGCAGCGGCCGAGAGCACGACGCCGGAGCCGGCGGCCGCGGCCAGCGAGGCTCCGGAGGGTGTTGGGGCTGCGGCTGGCGACGTGACGACCCCAGAGCCGGAGCCCACCTCCACGCCGACCAGCGAGGCCGTGACGCCGGGGGGTGACGTCACCACCACGCCGGAGCCCGAGCCGACGACTGACGCGGCGGCGGGGACCACGGAGCCCGCGCCCGAGGGCTCGACCGGCGCGGCGCCGCCGGCCGCGGACCGGGCAGGACGCCGAGACGCAGCCGGAGGGCACCTCCACACCGCGGCCGGAGACGATCGGGGCGACGGTGGAGGGCGCGACCGGCCCGCCGGACGCCACGTCCACCGCGCAGCCCGAGCCGGAGGCCGCGACAGAGCCCGGGTCGACGGAGGCCACGCCCGCGACCACGACGGCGCCAGCGGAGTCCTCCGACGTCACGGAGGCGGCGGCGCCGGCGGTCTCCACCGAGGCGACGCCGACGACCGTCGGGCCGGCCGCGGACGCGACCAAGACGACGGCGCCGCCGCCGGCCGGCCGCGACGCGGTGGAAGAGGCGCTCGCGGCGGCTCAAGAGCTGAGCAACGACCTGCGCCGGTAGGCCGGCCGGCCGCCTGCCGCGAGCGCGTCGCCGCGCGACCGCGACGCGAACCAGTGCCGTACGCCCGCGCAGCCGGGCAGACTCACATGTGATACAGATGCGAGTACGAATGAGCGCGCGAGAGGGCGTGTGGCGAGTGAGCGGCGCCGGAGGGGCGGCCGCCGGCGCTGGTGATCACTAATGTTTAGTGAACAGGCGGGTCCAAGTTCGGCGCGCCGCCGGCGGGTGCGGCGCGGTCGGACATCGTGAGGCGACTGTTGGATGCTGGCGTGTTTGCTCGGAGGACGACTCTAGGTTACTGCTGTGTGGTGTCCGCATGCGCAATGTGTCATACAAATGCAACCAGTGAGACTGCATTCCGTCCGTGTGTGAGGTCAGTGTGCGTTCTGTATCATTCAACTGTGACGATAGCGTAAGTACGCCTCTTCCGCGCGCTGCGTATGTGATCCGCGTCAGTCAGCTGTGAGCGCGGCAGCTGAGGAGCTGCCACTGCACTGGTCACCGAGTGGCCCGCCGCTGTGACTCGGTGCAAGGTGCCACTGCACTGGCCACCGAGTGGCCCGCCGCTACGGACTCGGTGCGAGGTGCCACTGCACTGGTCACCCAGCGGCCCGCCGCTATGGACTCGGTGCGAGGTGCCACTGCACTGGCCACCGAGTGGCCCGCCGCTACGGACTCTGTGCGAGGTGCCGCTGCACTGGTCACAGAGTGGCCCGCCGCTACGGACTCGGTGCGAGGTGCCACTGCACTGGTCACCCAGCGGCCCGCCGCTACGGACTCGGTGCGAGGTGCCACTGCACTGGTCACCCAGCGGCCCGCCGCTGCGGACTCGGTGCGAGGTGCCACTGCACTGGTCACCGAGCGGCCCGCCGCTACAGACTCGGTGCGAGGACCGTATGAATACCAGGATAGTGGCGGGCGGCGTCCGTCCAATACTGTGCGCCTCGTGGCGTCCCGTTTCTCTTCTGTGGCCTGTTTGTGCGCGCTGTGGGACGGCTGCCTTTCGACGGGTTTCGATTCCAGTCGAACTGTGCGTGGAGACTATTTTCTCATCAGAATGGGATGTTCAAATACATATCTAAACCACAGGATGTTGGGTACAGAGGAGGTTCGTCGCGTGACGCGGATTCGTATTTACTTTTGCGATGAAGTACTCGTAGCTGAATTCATGTCGCCTATCAAACCGGCATATCTTTAGAGCACACCTTAATCCACGTTTTAAAGCGCATCTGCTGATAACCGTATTTTAGGCCGGATCACTTGTATACAACACGTGCACTGTGTGTGGAATCCAACGTACCACTAAAGAGCTTGTATTCGCTAAGGCGCCGCGCGCATAGTTTGCGGAGCCTTGCACGTTCAGTCACCAACACACGGCCATGGACAGCGGTGAAGCCTGCTTGTCTGCCCCTCGGACCGCGAACACAGAACGCGAGCCATCCTGGCGATTCACGGCCACTCAGCGACCACCGGCGCGATCTCGCGCCGGCCGGCGACGACAGTCGCACAGGATCAACAAGTCACCAGGGAGGTCAGCGGTCAGCTGTGGCAGCGCCAGGAGAGCAGCCGACAGCCGCCAGCCGCCCGTTTCCGCCGAGTCCGGGTCCTCAGGCGGGTCAAGGCCAGCCTCCCGCTGGCACAGCGAGTCCCGGCTCACTCAGAAGTCCACACACACGCGCACACAGACACCGGAGCGGCGGCGGCGCCGCCTATCGGGCCGACTTGGAGATTTGCTCCTTCAACACCATGATGCTCTGACGCTGCTCTGGCGGCAGCATGGCGATCTGCTCGTCCGACAGCTGCAGCACTTGCATGATCAGCGCCGCCTGTCGACGCCCCGAGAAAACGTTAGTTCGCGTCCGTCGCAACAGGGGCGGCGAGGCGCGCGTCTGGCGCCGGAGATACACCATCGGCAATCAATGTGGCGTTACATGTCCATGGTGCCGTGATAAAATGCGGATGAAGACAATAGCGGCGTCAACCAGATCACTTTTCGGTGGCTAACGTCGTCTGCCCATGACGTCGAGGTCAAGCTCAGAGTAACAACATTCAAAACAGCACACAACACTTAACGGTTTCAAATGTAGTGCCAAGCGTTCCAAAACCTGTCTACGCTATTTCTGAAATAACTGATGACTGATGACAGAAACTGAACGCCACAAAGCTACGATCAATCAGCTTGTAAATAGGCTTTTCACGAGAGTCGCCACAAACATCGCCGGCCACGGGCGCCGGCGCGTCCGAAGTGCGCGTGTCCTGCCACCAGAGCCGGCCAGCTTCCCGGTTCCGATCCAATCAGAAGCACGCTGGTGAGCGGGGGCCGCGTCCTAGCGTCGGCGGGCCGCCGCTCGCCCGCTCGCCCTCTCACCTTCTCCTGGTCGCCGCCGGCCAGGTTAGCTGGCAGACTGATATTACCCAGGTCGGGTCCGCCGCGGCCGCCGGCACCGGCCGCGGCAGGGCCTGTCGACACAACACAGCCCAGTGTGACACCGCGCTGCGGCACGCGGCGGCTCTGGCGCGACACTGACAGGCAGGCGAGGCGTCGCACAAGGGCGAAGTCAACGGCAGCCGCCCTAGGAACCGGCAGCCGAGCCAAGAAACCGATGCACGCGGCAGGCGCCACGTGGCGTGACGCGCATGGGAGCCGCGACGACACAGACGGACTGGAGCTGTGACGCAGACGCCAACACAAACATGAGCAGCGACTCGGTCGTGACACACACAGGGGAGTCGTGAAACGACACCGACGCACGGGGCGCCGGGGAGGGCCGGCTCGATGAGTCTGATGGCAAGACCAGCTACCAAACTGCACACAATGAAAACCACTAGGCGTCAGTCAATCCAGGCGTGCAATGTGTCATCCTCTACCACGGCCGGGTCAGCCGGTCGTCACGGAGCCAACCCGCCACTGACACGCCGTGGAGACCGACGGCCCGCCCCAGTGACTGACCTCGCATGTCACGGTCGCCGCTGGCCGGCGGGGCGGCGGCGCGCGGGTCGCGGGGGTCGCGCGACTCGCGCGGGTCGCGGGTCGGTGCCGGCACCGGCGCCGGCGCCTCCTGGAAGCCGCGGCCGAACGGCGGGCCGCCGGCGCGCGGATCACGACCGAACGACCTGAGACGGGAGCGGGGTCAGGCGGGGTTAGAGTTGACGGCGACGACGACGACGACAACGGCGGCGGCGGCGGCGGCGGTGCACCGGGCATCACAGCCGGCATGCGGTGGATAATGAGTGAATGAACAAGGAGGCAATATGTCTACATGATAAACAATATACGGAGGAATAATAACATTATCACGTGAGGCCAACAAACATTCTGTGGTGTAAGTAAAACCATATGCATAACGACATGATATTAAGAAGGGGAACTAACCACTGACAAACCAAGAACTAAGCATATGAACTCTCAGTGCAAGAGTAGACCTTACAGCCAAGATTAACTGGTATACGACCCTACTTTGCGTGCAAGTTCAGAACACTCCATCCATTTGCCCGCACAGCAAACCAAACCAAATAAGTTGATGGCAGTCAGTGGCGTAAAACGGCGTGGTTCTAAACCCAGTGACGGCGTCATGGCATACGCATGCGCAAGCTCGGGAACTGCGGCCGTCGACGGCTCTACCCCGAGCCGAAGCCGGGATAGCCACCGACCTGGCGTCGAAGTCCTGCGGCGGCGGTCCGCGCATGTCCCGGTCGCCGGAGCGGAGGTCCAGGTCCCCCCTGTGGCCGGGCGGCGGGCCGCCGCGCGCGCCGTCTGCCGACACCGCAGGCCGGTGTCACGGGCGCCTCGAGTGCGGCCTCCTGAGGCGCGTGGCTCACGCCGATGGCTACGGTCGAACGGTCCGCAGCTGGGGCACTCCGCCACACGGTCCCGGCCGACACACGGCGGGGACGCGTTCGAGGCAAGACATGCGGCTGCTGATCCACCGAATTGGAAAATAATCGGCGCCGACACGGCCGGCATGCCACCAGATCCCTTAACCAAATAACAAGATACCAAATAACTGTGACGGCCAACATTCAGCGTGTGACCTTTACAGCCCGTACACTTCTGAGACACAGGATTGAACTCTCGCCCGCAGGATTCGACAGCACCACGCCATTATGAAGCTGGAGGCACGCGCTCGCGTCGCGCGTCCCCGCCCCAGGGCTGCTGGGGCCGACCAAACCACGCCACGTACCGCGCGGCGGCAGCCGCAGGTCCTGGTCGCCGTGGCGGCCGCTGGCGCGCGGGTCCAGCTTGCGCATGTCGAGGTCAGCCCCAGAGGGCGCCACCGGCGGGCCGGCCGTCGCCGCCTGGCGGAAGTCCACGTCCTGACCTGGGGCGGACGGGAGTGAGGTTCAGGGAGGGACGAGGCCTCAGCCAGGTCGTGTCCACCGGCGTCTGGGCATGTCTGACCTTTGGTCTGACCTCGGACTGGTCAGAGGTCAGGCACGGGTCCGCTACCGGTGGTCCAGCGGCAGTACATGGAGATGGACATAACAGAGGGCCGTGCCTTCACACGCTCGCCCCAACACCACAGGTCAGCCGTTCCGAGAGACGAACTAGAGGGAAATGATACTTATTCACACCACGGCATCGTGTGATCACACATCTTTATGACGTTGTGTGATCGCGTGCCTTCGTGACATCATGTGATATCACATCTTCATGATATCGTGTGATCACATATCTTAATGACATCATGCGGCCGAATGACATGACATCGCGCGACCACACGTCTACATGCCATCGTGTAATCACATCCCTCAGCACACGGCAGCAGCTATTGACCAGCAGAGCGCCCACAAAACACCACACCGACGGCTGCGACCGAATCCCGGCCGGCACGCTTGCCAAGGCAACCACCGCCGAGCGTCTCACCTCCGACCAGCGGTCCGAACGGGCCGTCCTTGGCCGGCGGCTGCGGGGCCGGCGCCGGCGGCTCCGGCCTGCTGGCCGCGGCGGCCGGCGCAGGGGCGGACGCGGCGGCGGCCGGCGGCGGGTCGGCCGGCTTCAGCACCTGCGGCGCCGGCTGGGACTTGTGCAGCATCGTCTGCGGGCCGGGCGGGCTGTCAGCTGGCGTCCGCGGCGGAGCCAGGGGTTCGCTGACCGGCAGGGCTAGCTTTGCGTCACATTCAAAGAGAGTACAGACTCTGAACGAAACGACTAGCGGCAACGGTTATGCCATCGCCGCTCGATAAAGGAATCATGTAGGGAGGCTCACTTAATAATACAAAAATTTAACTGCAACACCGCTGCTAAATTACTACGTCAAGCGCCCTCCATCGCTAGAAGTCCACGACCAACGTCTCCTGTGCCGCCACACCAATACCACAGCAAGCTTCCAACCCGACCTACCCAACGGCCCGTATTGGCCATCCGACACCCGGTACCGTCCCGGCGGCCTGTCCGGCCCGCTCGGCCGGCCCGGCCTGACTCACGGCGGCCGTCTGCGGATCGATGATGCGCATCACCACCTGCGCCTGCAGCAGCGCGTACGCCAGCTGCGGGTTCTGCAGCAGCATGGTGCGCGCCTCGGTCGGGTTGTTCTGTGGGGCAGAGACCGCTCCGTCAGCTCGCGCGCACGGGGCGCGAGGCGCCACGCCGCGGCACGCGGTCGACGGCATCACCCAGGTAGCCATCAGTGGTTACCTGCCTGCAGCGAAGCTACACCGAACGCCCGCTGACGCGGTTGAGTGCTGAGTCCGTACACTTCCCCAATCGCCGACCTCCGGCGGCTGATAACGGAAGACGCGGCGCGTCGCCACACCAAGCCGCGCTGCCATCCAGAGGCTCGCCAGTGGGAGGGGCCGCGTCTCCAACGCAAAGCCGCGCCGCCGCGCCGCCCTCCACTGCCGGACGGAACAGACTGACGTCGCCTGCCGCCCGACCCACCTGGATGCACAGCTTCATCTGCTTCATCAGCTCGAACATCTGCTCGGGCGGCAGCGAGGCCACCGCCTTGCTGATGGCCTCGGGCGCCTGCGGCGGGTCCACCTCCTCGCCGTAGGGGCTCTCGCTGGCCGGGCCCTGCATGAGCGCTGTCGGCGGCGGCCGCAGGGGCCGAATCAGGCACGGGGATGGTGCGCCCAGCGGCCACGCGCGCCACCGTCGGTGGGAGGCGGCTGGGAGCTCGGCGGGACGGACAGGAGGCAAGCTGGCACGGAAAGGGTAGATCCCCCCATTTCGTGCCACTAGCACGCGACGCACCGCATCGCGGTGCGCATAGACCACCGACCGCTAAACTAGCTGCACATGTCAACGTAACCACTGAACCCGACTGACGTAAATACTGCGGGACCAATGCACGCACATCTTCAACACGATCCGCCACGCCGAAGCTTCGACGACCCCACCGCCAGCCGGCATTCAGCCTGCCCGCGCCGACCGCGATCTGCCGCCTCGGGGCCGTCGACTCACTCTGCATCTCCATGCGGCTCTTCTCCGTGCAGGCATTGTCGACGCGCAGCTGTCGGCCAGAGAGCTCGACGCCGTTCAGGTTGCGCATGGCGCTGAGCGCTGTCTCCGGGTCGCGGTACTCGCAGAACCCGTAACCCTTCGGCTTGCCCGTCGCCCGGTCGTTCATCATGCTGCAGTACGGAGGGAGAGAGGGAGGGAGGAAGGGGTTATACGGACAGTGGTTAACGGCAGCGCGACCCGGCAGTGCAGCCGTATCAAGGCCGAATCGAAATCATGGTACGTGTTAAGATGTGCTGTGTTTATAATTTACAGTGCACAAAGCGACATACGTTAGACACCATCTCCACGCTTCAATTATGCGGTAAGTGCACGAAGGTATTTGTATTTTCTGAAATCACACCGTCACCACCATTCCATCTGATTCGAGACCAGCCCCATGAACAATCCAACAGCTTCCCGTGACTTCACTCGTTCCTCGGAGTGAAAGGCTGAGCAGACGACCCGGGTCAAGCGCAGGGTGCGAGCTGCCTCGCACAAACCTCGCCGCCGGCTCCACTCACCGAAACGACAGCACGGGGCCCACCTGGCTGAAGATCTCCTTCAGCTTCTTCTCGGTCACCTCGTACGGTATGTTACCGACTGAGAACAGGCGAACAGGTCGGACAGTCAAAAAGATGAGGACATTGGAGGGCACTAGAGGAAGATAAAGTCATTGTGAAATTTACAGTAGGTGACATCCCGATGGTACAAAACCACGAGACTTCCAAGGCAAACCGTACTACCGCCCAGACGAATGCTTATAAAATGGCGCTTAGGGCAAGTAAGCATAGATCACTACTTTAGCTTGTCGCTAGGTAAATCTAAAATATTTCCTTTTAATGATAATGGTTGTAGCTCACATGCAGACTCGGAAGTTCACCATCAGTATCGAATCACAAGAATAAATCGTCAGACCTTACTGTGGTCGTAATTTTGACACCAGGTGTGGATCGATTTCCAAGCAAGAATGGGCGCCGGAGATGGCCGGTGCCGAAGGAGGGCGAGGGGTGGGAGACAGAACGGATACCAACATGTTTTACAAAATGTTGATACTGATACCACAGCAATACATGGAAATAGAAGACGTAGAAACCATGTTAGCGTTCCACAATGCCGATCTATGATTTCTATAATTACTGACCCACATTCAGCACGCCAGCCCATAATGGCCAGGCTGTCCTGCTATCCACAAACTGATATCCTTGCCACCATCGACTGCAGGCTCAGCCTTCAGCAACATGAAGTGCATTTCTTTGAAACTTCCGCTATGAAAATTTACGGAATTTACGTGCAGGCCGTTGGATCAAGACAAATTTCTTGCAACACCACAATATTACCTCGATTTTTCTCCACCCTTTCGATTAACCTGGAAACAGCCAAACTCTAAGTACAGAGAAATGACGGTAAAAATACGCAGAAGAGCGCGGGTCGCGTTCGGGTTCAGACCTCGATTAACCGGCTTCGCAGTCATGCGAGATCAACATTCTGACGGACGAGAAAACGGCAGATCGCACCAGTCAACTGTGAGTGCGTGCGTGCTGACGGCCGCACGCTCTCACGCGAGAAAACCATGGATTCATATCTCAGAGTTTTTCCAAAGCTTTCTGGCAGGTATCAGCGACCAGAGCTGACACAGAAGTGAAACCAACCATGTGGTGTGGGCTAATGTGCTTGCTCAAACAAATAACCCAAAACCGTCCGAGCCATTAGCACGCCAGTAATCGGCCTAATCGGTCAGAGGGCGGCTAATGTCACCTCTTTTGAAGCTTATCCCTGTGACAAAAGGATGTGGACCGAGAATAGACATGCAAACTAAGCATGCATGTAGTGCTGTCTGTTATTTGGAAGCCAACCAAGAAGCTGTGTTGTTCACAAACTTTGGTCACAAATGCCACACCTATGAATCATCATAAATTTGTTGATTTTGATATGGAGAATTGATAGACTTGGTAAGACCATACACAGTGACTCTTGGATCAATCAGCGATGTGGTAAGTGTGTGAATGCTATAGGATTTAGTCTGCTGTGCCTTCATGAAAGGTGGAATTCTCATTACATTAAGCAAACTCCAACTGACAGTTTACTTAATACATGGTGATAAGACTTTTACCAAAAATTGAACCAAACAAGCCTTAAAATTATTCTGCAGGATTCTCTCCATTTTATTGACCTATTAGTTGCCAATCAATCAATTTCAAAGATGAAAATGTAAGTTTCATGACTTCATAACAGTCAGATATTATTCAGCATCCATAGCAGTATTCACTTTTGTTAAGAGACATCCCCATTGATGTACTTAACAGAAAAAAGACTGGAGCACCACATGCACAGACACTTACCAAACACTGATCTCATGGACTTCTCCACCAGGGAGTTATCAACAGCCATCTTGCTTGCTTAGTTATCTTCTGAAAAAGCTGAAAGCTGAAAAGTATATAGGGACTGTAAAAAGTCAGATATCATTGACCTTCTTTAAAAAGTTGACAAAATTATACTGTATGATGTTTACAAGTCTCTAGCCATCTCAAAATTAACATGCAAATAACACAGTGGAATAAAAGCAAACAAATGTAAATCTGTCATAAACTGCCTCTGAATATAAGTAGCACTCCAGCACAGAATTCCACACATGCATCTAAGCACGTTATTAAAAACCTAAAAATACAGAAAGAAGGAAAATGACATGAAAAATGTCATCTGACAACACAAATAATAGTCAGTGTTTAACTCCATTGCATACATACAGTGACAGAGCTAACACTTGCAGCTGGTGACAAGTGACAATGACAAGGACCAATGCAAACACCTTGCAAACGTGATATCGTATACTCAATAACAAGGTGAAAATACCGTACCAATAGGGCAGCAACCAATGCTCAAGTCGGGCACAACTTTACATCAAATCTATGACACATGGGAACGACAAGAACTGTGCTCAAAGAAGCGTGCCTGCCCGGTCGAATGCAAGACGAAGGGTGCGCTACAGAGCATGCAGCAATACCCAACACGCTTTTCCAGCTTCCTATACATAAGTAAACAAATGGTATGTTGTTCACTCACCACAACTCCGCAACCAAAACAAACGAAGCAAACACCCCTTGCCCTTGTCTGCCAATGCAGTGCTAAACAAAATTATCGCGCTCAAGGCACCGCGCCGAGCCTTGCTCGGTGCGCCATGAATGTATGGAAGTCGTATGGCTTTAAACTTTTCTGTTGCTCCCGGGCCCCGCTGCAATGCACGCTGCTCGTCATTGCGAAAACAGCACAGCGCAGCTTACATGCGCAAGCTTTTGAAGTCGGCCATAGAATGTTATAACAACCGAGCGAAATTTGTTAATGAACGATGACAGAAAAACAGAGTAAACGCAATCCAGCTAGCCTTGCTTATCTTTTGCTCCTGCGTCCTTGGAGAAAATATCGTCGGACGATTAGGCATTTCGCTATCTTCCTCCCATCTTTCACGAAAAGAGATAACTTCTTCGCACTGTGTATTTGCGCCGGAACGGCGCAGAGCACGCGGAAGCTGCAAACGCCACGGCAACAGCATCCACAGCCGGAACGGCAGAGGCGACGGTGACGGTCATTGGAGACACCGGCGTCAGCGACCCGACCGAGAGCACAGCAGCCGGCTCTCGCGACGGCAGTGATTCCGTCGAAGGCGCGGTTGCAGGGGCACCTCGACGAGAGGGTCCCGGGGCCGGCCGTGTCGTGGCCGGCCGGTCCTGCCGCGGCGGCTGCCCAGCGAGCGGCCGGCCGCCGTCCAGCGGAGGCCCATGGGAAGGTTCCGCCGCAGGACGAGGTCGAGTTGCTGTATCGAGAGTACTTTGAACGGAGAATCTTTGACTATATTAAAGCAAGGAATTCCATTTTTAGTGAATGCCTTCCAGACGCGGGTCATCCTTTCCATCTTAAACAGTTTGTTGGAAATGGGCCCTTTTTTGACCACCCCTTGGTGAGAGACTCGTTCAGGAACACTTTCGTTTTATGGCGACTTTTTCCGTCTCGGTCCGAATCGGTCGTCATGACGTGAGAACAAGTCGCCCCGGAGACTGCGGAACCGGCCCAGTGGAGCCGACCCATGCACCCTCTAGCGCATCGCGGCGCTTGGGTTCGCCGAGGAGCCTCCGAGGACGGCGCGACGTATTGTGGGCTACCGCGTCGCGACTTAGGCCACAACATACAGGAAGCGACCCACATGTCACTGTACGCAGCGTCACCAAGGCCGTCGCCGTCGTCCGTGAACCAGCCCATGCCCGCCGACACGCTCGACCTCGCCGGAAGCACAGGACTGCATCCCGCGGCATGACTCAACGGCTGCTGTGCCCAAGCATCGCTGCAGCCCAACCGTGGAGGGGTCACGCCGCATGAACGCGCACCTGCGGCCGAGCCGGGGCGGGCCCAGCACCGCTGCAACTGCAACACAACCGTGAAGGTCGCCCAGCACGGACGCGCACCTGCGGCCGACCCGGGCTGACCAAAGCATCGCTGTAACAAATCGATGCATTACCAGTGCCAAAAACAAAGATGCCAATTTAATAACTAGATGTAAACGAATGTAAATGTCAACAGGAGTGTATTTTGCGGCTAAAATAATAGCGAGTCAGCACACGGCTCAATGTGAAAAACGCGACGTTACATGTCGTGAATTGAACACGGCGTAATACTGTTGCAAGCCGTCCAATATACTCCAGGTTGGCATAGTCATTCTACTCAGGGCCTTAGAAAACATCACGCAGAGTTTAAGATAACTTCGCTACTAATGTACTAACTCATATCGGTGATCGCAGGTACAACTATGCGATGCGATTGTATCTGTCCTATGATTGTGCACGAGTGTTTCTAGCAAGGGCAACGTCATAACAATATTTCTAGACCACCACGCGTGGGATCGCATAGGCCTTTTACTAGAAAGGGCGGACCTGTTCGAGCCTGAGGTCCCACGGTAACCTAATATCGAACCACATAAACCACGGCCGTGAGTGAACAGGGGACCTCTTCACCAGGCACCATGTGAGTAGGAGCGCGTCTCTGTCGCGCTGCCGGGCCGGGCGGTTCCCACGCCGAACACTTGCTCGACACTTGGTCGCTGCCTCCCTATCCTCACAAACCTGATTTTTCAAACTAGTTGTGGTGGTCATTATGTTCCATTTGGTACGCCTTGCTCTTCGCTGTAATTCGTGTTTCAATAAATTTTCATTTGACGCCATCCGGTCAGGATCCGCCCATCAGTCCAGCGGTCGCGTCAAACGAACACGAACATGGCCTTCTGTCCAGCGGTCGCGTCAAACGTACACGAGCATGGCCTTCTGTCCAGCGGTCGCGGCTGCAGGGCTCACGCCAACAGTGGAGTGCGTATCACTGCAGCAGCAAGGGGAGTGAACGCATTGAGAGAATGCGATCTCCTGAACATGCGTCCGGCCAAAACGCATGTGTCTCTGTGGCAGAAAAAGAAAGGGCGTAGTTGACGAAGTAGTTAAATACGGCTCTACCCAGTTGCTTCATATGACGTCATACGAAACCGCGTGGTCATTGAGGCTTTATAACGCATCAACTGCTCAACTTGCATGGAGTGGCCTGCCTTCCACACTGGCAGGAAGGGCAGGCAACGTAGGGATAATAACATCCCATGCACACCCAAGCAAAGAGCACGCACTAACTTATCTGACGTCGCCACCTGTGACGTCATAGGTTGCACCGTGGAGCCGCCATTCGCCGATGACGAGAACAACACCAGTCTCGCTCACCTTCAACCTTCGCCTTCAACTTACCAGCCCAGCTCACCTCGGCGCCTTCAGCCTCGCAAACCACGGAGCCCTGCCTATGATGACCCACCAGCCTCACTCACTTCACTGGAGTAAACTTCGAAGCGCTGACTAAAAAGCCGCCAGCTTCGCTTACTTCACTGAAGCAAACCACCCTGCCTCTGATGAACCATCAGCCCCGCTCACTTCACTGGAGCAGACCACGGAGCCCTGCCTCTGGTCACCCATCAGCCTCGCTCACTTCGCTGAAGCAAACCGCGGAGCCCTGCCTCTGATGACCCGCCAGTCTTGCTCACTTCACTGAAGCAAACTACCCTGCCTCTGATGAACCATCAGCCCCGCTCACTTCACTGAAGCAAACCACCCTGTTTCTGATCACCCACCAGCCTCGCTCATTTCACTGGAGCAAACCACGGGGCCGTGCCTCTGATCACCCACCAGCCTCACCCGTCAATAGAGCAAACCACAGAGGATTGCCTCGGACGACGCTAGCCACCCGGTGGGGAGTTGCTTTCGCAGTCGGCGTTAGCAAAAGTTCTCGGTACAAACACAAAAACAAAACGGGCGTGCTAATGTTTTCAGTAAGACAACGGGGGTTTTGGAGAGTTTTTGGCGGCGCATGTATGTTGCCAGGGGCATGGCTGGACAAAATGCGCAAAGGGATGTTCCATAATTCCTGAAGCTAGTAATTTGTAAGGTCGATCATACTTTTCTTTAGAGCTCCATAAGCCACCACAATACATTCCTTGTAATTCCTGTCCAATGATGCAATCGCTTCAATGTTTCCAAAAGCCGGATCAATTTTCATCACACTAAGTTTGAGTTTGAACGGCTGCAGCAACACAAATACTTGCGAGGCAGTTCGGTCAGATCAACAATGAAATGCACTTGTCTATTTCACTCACCACTGTTAGCATCAGCCATGTCAGCAGGGTCAGCGCCAGGAAGGCGCCGGTCAGTACTCAGCGTGAATGTGATCCAGAGCACCGCACACCCACATAACAAAAGCAGACTAGTCTCATCTGTATTCACTATTGCACACTGTTCCGAGCGCCGTTCGCTGCCGAGCCGCCATCCCAGCTGAAGACGTGTCTGCGACCACGGCTTGGGAGCCCGCCATGGTTCGACACCTGGGGTTATCGGTGACGCGGGGCGGCAGCTCGTGCTCGCGCGCCCGTCACCACTCGGCGGAGCACTCGTCAGTGCTCGGGTGGCCGTCACCGGTCGGAAGGCCGGCTCCGGCCGCCACCTCGCAGCCGTCACTGACCAGGCTCGGACTGTCACTGCCGCCGCCCGTCACTGCTCGGACGGCCAGCACTGGCCCACGCTTCTCGGCCGCCACTGCGCGGCCGGCCGGCACGGGCTCCGTCGTCCGCCGTCACTGGCCGCCGCCATGTCCATGCCGTCGCACCGCTGCCGGCCCATCACCGCTTGCCGTTGCGGTAGCGCCTGCGGGCCTGCGCCTTGGTGAACTTGTGGTGGCGGGCGGGCGGCGGCTCGGCGCCCTCGCCCTCGCCCGGCGCGTCTGCGGGCAGTGGACGGGACGGCGTAAAGACGGGCCCGTCGACCGCGTCCCACCGGCCCCCGCCGCCAGCGTCACGCCGGTGACGCGCCGAGCAGACATGTGCCTGGATCTCAAAGGTGGATCCAGAACCTCGTAGGGTTCCATGCCCATGGAATCCTGTGATCTCTGTCGGGCTCCGGGTATGTACGTGTCTGATGCCGAGCAAGACATCCCACAGAACCGGGGCGCGGGGGGAAGATGTGCGACAACGCTCACGTCTGCTCATGAGCGGCCGAGCGCCGCAACGGTCCCGCACCGACACACGACCGCCAAGCGCGTGGGCGGCTTGCGCTCAAGCGCGAACCCGGCTGCGCACACCCGCAGCGCACGGGCCCGACCGCGGCGCAGAGCTCCGGCTGGCGACCAGACCCGCACCCCTGGCCACCCACCGGACCGGCGGCGCCGGAAAGTCACCCACCGGCCTGCGAAGCCTCAGACGATCCTGCGAGCAGGTCCAGCGGCGGCTGCAGCAGCCCCCGCCGCTGCCCGGCCAGGTACAGTCTGTACGCCTTGCAGACGCCGTACCCAGCGCCGGCCACCAGCAGCACCAGCAGGATCTGAGGTACCGGGTGCTGTGGACGGAGGGCGCGTGCGATGCTACTGATATTTGTCCGGCCCTTGCTGACGGAGAAACCCGTCTACATTCCAGCAGAAGCGCACCACGCCGTCGATTCAGTTTCGTCGTGACGCATGAGTTCCCAAAACATGCTAGCAATTCAGAGGCGATAAGCAACATCAGATATAGTTATAATTACAGGGGCAAATACCAACTATCAGTGCGATGATAACACACATCAGTAGAAAACACTCGTAAAAGCATCGGTCTGTGACACAAGAAGCCGCACACTACGCTTCATGTCGGTTTGCTGAATCATTTTGTAAAGACATCTGGGAGCACAGCACATGAAAAGGGTTCGCTTCTCAGCAGCAGTAACATTCCGACCTACGGGGCTCGACAAAAATGGGCTCTTCGAGCATGTCCAGCAACTCCATTTCACAATGGTACAAAAGTCGGATGTTCCTTCACTCCTGCCATACGCTGAACCAACTTCCATAGCGTGAATCAGCACTCTTTACATTAAGTTTCGGCGCCGGGGTGAACACATCTGCCAGGACTAGAAGAACGCCGAGGATGATGCCGACTCCAGCGCCAAGGTACGGCAGCTGCCGGTCCCCTGCAACAAAGGTATAGCTCGTGTGGTGGAACCACGAGGCATCGAAGTGCCGTGTGACATCATCATCGCTGACGTCACAGGCCGTGGCAGTGAGCGACGCCGATGCGGGTCGACTGTCGGCTACCTGGCTCAGCGCCGCAAACTGCGGGACTGAGGCATAGCACCATGAGATGCGACGAACGCCAGCCCATTGAAACAGAGTCACGGACGGTGACGTTTAAGTTCGGGAAAACGAGACACGGCCACCGTCACTAATCTGGCAGTGCGTTATAGAGTGTGGAATCGTATGAGCCCAAAACAACGTGAGACACATTTTGGCACTTTTGGGGCGCAAACGTACATGGCCACGCGCATGCAACGCCAAAATAGCTCACTATGCAGGGTTCGTTCCATTACAAAACAGAATTCAACAGTCACTGTGTACTATGGACAACCGAGATAGCCAGCTTCTGGGTGGCTCTCACTTCCCCATCCGCCGTAGGATGTAGGACATGTCGTGCGCCCGAGCGTGGCCAGCGCCCCCCTGCCCGCGCAGCTCACGGCCAGGGGCACGTACTAGGCCGCTGAGTGCGCGCCGCCCCGCCGGCTGCCTGGATGGCCGATGACCCCTGCTCACCCAGCCCGCGGCTAGGGGTACGTACCGGCTCGCTGAGCGCGCGCCGTCCCGCCGGCTGGCTGGATGGCCGGCATCCCCTGCCCACCCAGCTCGCGGCCAGGGGTACATGCCGGCCCGCTGAGCGCGCGCCTCCCCGTCGGCTGCCTGGATGGCCGACGTCTCCTGCCCACCCAGCTCGCGGCCAGGGGTACGCACCGGCCCGCCGAGCGCGCGCCGCCCCGCCGGCCGCCTGGACGGCCGGCGTCTCCTGCCCACCCACCCCGCGACCAGGGGTACGTACCGGCCCGCTGAGCGCGCGCCGCCACGTCGGCTGCCCGGATGGCCGACGACCCCTGCTCACCCAGTCCACGGCCAGGGGTATGTACCGGCCCGCTGAGCGCGCGCCGCCCCGTCGGATGCCTGGATGGCCGACGACCTCTGCTCACCCAGTCCACGGCCAGGGGTATGTACCGGCCCGCTGAGCGCGCGCCGCCCCGCCGGCCGCCTGGACGGCCGGCGTCTCCTGCCCACCCAGCTCGCGGCCAGGGGTACCTACCGGCCCGCTGAGCGCGCGCCGCCCCGCCGGCCGCCTGGATGGCCGCGTGCAGGGTGGGGTCGTGCGGCTGCAGTGCCAGCGCCTGCGTGAACGAGATGCACGCGTCGGCGAAGAATCCGGCTGCCATCTCCACCTGGCCCTGGCGGTAGTAGCCCTGCAACGTGGCCGGCGGCCCGTCAGCGCCAGCCGAGGCCAGCTGCGCAGCGCCGCCAGGCTTCGCCGACCAGATGACCAGTCGGCAATGAGCACAGGCTGCATTCGGCCATGGGCGTGTCAGAGCTCGTGACGTCTCAGGCATGACGTGAGCAAACTTGAAACATCCCTGTTCATGCATCATTTTATGGTTCACATAGCTTGATGATGACCCCAGACTGTCCATGTCAAGAAATAAAACATTTACATACTGCGGGTTACATCACTTTGAAAGGAATATTGGTTGTGTGCAGTGGTTTGAGTTCGGAAACGACGCCAACTATTGCAAACGCCATACTACCTAAGCACTCAGCAATCATACTAAATCTGGCGAAAATGAAGTGGTAGAATCACATGATCATAAACAAGAATCTGGAGGTTGGAACTTTTCTGTACGCTTCCCAGGATGCAGATGCTCAATCCTGGCATGAAAATGCATACCTTTGGCCACTTGGGATCCAGCTGAATAGTTCGCTTGGCATCCTCAAGAGCTAGGAAGTGCTGCTCAAGCTTCAGGAGTACATGACTCCTGTTGCTGTACAGAAGATGGTTGTTTGGCTCCCTCTTGATTGCATGACTGTAGTGAAGTAAAGCTTCATGGTATTTACCATCTTTTAGGCATGCATTGCCTTTCTCCTTCAGTTCCAAAGCCTGAAAATAAGTTACCGATGCCTTAGTCTAGTGCATATTTGGACCTGAATATGAGTGGTGGGAGTCTTGGGTTCTGAGACACTCAAAGATCATGTTGTGGCAGAACTTACACAGCATTCATGTCTACAGTACAAAACAATGGGAGATTGATTTATTGTTAACTTGCTAAACATTTGCAGGGAAAAAACATCCATTCACCTTTAAATCATAAGGCATTGGACAACAATAACAAGTGTGAGTCACATAACATAGCCTGGGGCTTGTGTGCATAAATTGGACTGGAATTTTAAGTGTATAATTGCGAGATATTTTTGCAAAGAGAAAAATTCACTTCTGTGACTCTATCCTCACATGACCTCTGTCACATGTTTGACCATGAGACTGTCATCTGAAAATACAAAAATGTCATGCTTACTATCTTGTCTTGGTTCCTACAGAATCATGAACTTCAAAAAGATTTAAAGGACTATGGCTGTATTATTTCTTAACTAATTACCATGACACCAACTAAGCATTATCATGGCAAACTGCTTCTTGAAAAGGCTCACTAGATCAAATGCATTATGGGAGCAAAGTATAAATTAGAATGTCCAATGGTATTACACAATTTTATTCAAAGTTAGTCACTACTTTCACTTTCCATGCCAAGTAATATTTGTGACATAATAATACAACTACAGCCAACATTCCATACTCTAGCAAATGCCCCAGAATCCATACCATGACAACATTTATACAGTTCTAAGTATCATAAGATTCATGCTAGGTCTGAATCTATATCATCAGTGTAGATAAGAAATGTCAAAAATGTGCCAGTATAGCTGAATGCAAAATTAAAGCCCCTATATATGATAGATCCATGATATAGATAGAATGCCAAATACACAAGAGTAAAGTATCACACATTTAGAAACCTTTGAAAGTCAACTAAGTACAAAGCACTTTAAACCATGCAGGGTTAATATAAATGTATTAAAGTGCTGGACTATGGAATGTTAGTATTGTAAGTTGTAAACATACATTCACCTGAAAATTGGATATGAACGACCATTCTAGTCCTCACGTAATCTTATATTTAACTAAAAGTTTGCAGGTAATGCAGTTATGACCTAAAAACAAAAGATATCAAATTTTAGCACCATACTGAACACCCCCCCCCCCCACACCCATCAGTGGCTATCACAAGAAGCAATGACAACAATATGGAATTGCATCCTATTATTGAAGTAACAAGCCCTACCAATACACAAAGTTTTACACTTTTGACCGAGGTAAAAAATGGTCTGGTTTCATATGCAGTATCCCAATCCTAAACGAACTAAAATATCCAAAATATTGTCAGTTTTGCACTTGGTTGCATCCACAACTTCGTATGAAATACTGCCACACTCAAAATGCCACCAAGCGGTGCCTGTCCCCCACTAAACTTGCGTTACGGTCTGAATTTTGAGCATCGTCGTGGCCGTGAGGAACATCCTAGCTCGTGCAGTATACTGCAACTCTTAATAAAAAGATCACGAACCATTTTCAACATTCCAGCCCATTCGAATCCGTTTTCGCTGGGCCACCAGCACAAATGTTACGGACTCGGATTTTATTCGTCCTTCTAGATATCGCAAGTAAACTGAACCATTTAACAAAACTCACCTCGGACATCACAACCACCCGCGACCGCCAAGTCGATTTCAAACGCCAATGAATGCCAGGTGCCTGACCTCAACTCCTTTTGCAACCGGCGATCCCATCCCATACCAATCGTTATTGTGGTCGTCAGTTCTCGAAGCAGCTGCGCCATCTTCGCTTCAATGGATGGCTACCAAACTTTTGGGAGGAGCCCAAAATGCAAGACACTTTTGAAAACAGACGGTCGATATACACGCTTCATTTGTAAATACAACACTTCATCCAGCTGAAAAATGGAAACTCGGCCTCGTTCTCCCATGGCTTTTATGCATACTACCTATCATCAGGTCTAACCATTGAGGTTAGACCTGGTGTGAAGTCTGTGGTGACCTGGTAACAGTGCGCCTGGATCGTCTAAACCCACTTGACCACTTTGACCCGGCTGGTGCCCGGCCATTTATTTACCTGTCAGTTGTTAAGACAGCCCGTAACTATTTCGCATCACCTGGAAGACACTTTGGTTTCCGATCATTCTGCAATATCGATACTTCTTGGCCGCATCCATGATTATCATTGAGGCTGCTGTCATATCAATACTGTTTGAATGATTGCACAGGTCACAATGCCAGCTCAGTAATCACCTAACTTCTAACGTACAGGGCTTCTTGACCATTTCGTGGGACCATCATCCCGATCACTTTGAGCTGGTCTCTCCAAAATCTCTGTCCGTTTTAGTGGTAAGTGCCTACCACTGGTCATGATCAGCTTCCCATCACATCCAACCATTCGTGCAGCATATTGATGTTGATTGTGGTTTTACACATATATTAAGATCAATGCGTCGCACACTCGCATGTTGCAACGACAGTATATAATAGGAGCCCGCACATGCCACAGGAATGTACTTAACGACTTACAGGCCCAAAAGGAAGCATCTCCCATTCAGCTGCCGTTAGGAACTCGTTACGGCCGTTGTGCCTACATTCACTGTTTGTACTCATGCCATGTACTCACACTGTCAAGCTCCATATCACAGAGTACGAGTCTAAACCTGTGCAGACTGCGGGATCGGCTGCTTCAGGCCGAAATAAGACTGCGGCAGCTGGAAGTACTCGCTGATGAGCTGGTCTACCCAGTAGACGAACTGCTGCGGGTCGGCGTACACGCCCGGGATGCCCTTCTCGCCACAGCCGATGCCCCAGGCCACGATGCCGCCGTGTACGTAGCGCTCCGGGTCGAGGGGGTCGCGGCAGGCGAGCGGCGAGCCGCCGTCGCCGGTGCACGTGTCGGCCGCCTTGGCCTCCTCCGGACCCGGCTGGGTCGTCAGCGACGGCGGCGCACCGGCACACGTGAAGGAGTCGTCCAGCACGAAGCGGAAGCCGAGCCGCGTCGTGCGCAGCTGGCTCTGGCAGTAGTCATGGCCGACGCGCTGCAGATCCACCTGCTTCAGCACCGTCTGGAACTGGCCGCTGTCGAAGCGGTCCTTGCCCCAGCCGGTGGCGACGCACTCTGCGCCAGTGTAATCGACGGCCGGGTCGGGCAGGCAGAGCGTGTCGATGTGCTCCTGCAGCTGCACCGGCTCCGCCAGAAACAGCAGCGCGACGTCGTTGTGCAGGTTGCGGCCGTTGAAGTCGTCGCGCACCGCCACCTCCGCCACGGCCACATCCACGTGCGGGAAGAACTCGGTCGTGTGCTGCGTGTCCCACTCACCGAGCCGGACGCGCAGAGAGGCCGGGTCCAGGTTGTTGACGCAGTGAGCGGCTGTCATGACCACCTGCGGGTGCACCAGCGTGCCGCCGCACACGAACAGATTCTTCTCCTCGTCGGCCACCGCCTCCACGCGCAGAACGGCCGCCATCCAGGGGAACTCGCCGAACTGTGACTCACCCTCGGCGAAGCCAACAATGCGCGCGTTGACGCCGAAATCGTTGCGTCGGCCGCAGCGGGGCACATACTCCGGCTCCTTGATCTCCGGCTTGGCCATGGGATCGCGGCAGCATACGTCGATGAAATTAGCGCACTCTGAGTGCGTCAGCGGCGCCGTATCGTTATCCAGCTGGTTGTTGCCGAAGCGGATGTCGATGAGGCCCGCGCCGTCGGTGACGATCTCCTCCTCGCGGCACAGGTAGTACGGCACGCAGACGTACTGCGAGGACTGACAGCGCTCCAGCGTGCCCTGGTTGGCGCCCAGCCCCAGCGCGGCCAGCAGCTCAGCGTCAGTGAGGTGGTCGGCCTCGCCCGCCTGTTGCTGGGCGGGCGCGAGCGGCGCCGGCGGCACGTCGGCTGTGTCGCCTGAGAGCGCCGCCAGCAGCTCGGCGTCCGTCAGCTGGCTGGCGTCGGTCTGCGCCTGGCTTCCCGTCGCCGAGTGCTGGGGCGGCGGCGGCGGTATCGCCAGCGCAGCCACCACCAGTAGCGATCCGAGGAAGAGACGCATCACTGCGGACGGCGGATTCGGTTAGGTGCGTTCAACGGCGCGATTTTTTTCACAGCGCGTTTTTGTCCACGGCTGGCTTAGACACCACCAATATGGCAGCCCCAAAAATGCAGTGAGCTTTGCTTATATGCTGCACCTCACATCGCTAAGACTTTTTCGTCGCCTGTTGGCGGCTTAAATTAAGCTTTTAAATGCTACTACCATCAAGGTAATAAAAGTGACGGAATTTTGGAACAAATGTAAATGCGGGCTGATTTTGCAATGATACAATATGAAGTATATGTAAACTTGCCTTGAACGCTGTAGTCACAGGTGGCGCGGTAGCGGAATAGGCTGGAGCTGGCCTGTACCGTGGCTGTTGGTCCGTCCGTGGGTTTCTGACGCCGCCCTCACCTGCGTGGCATTATAACGGCTTTGTGAAACGTGACGTCACGGGTCCACCTGAACCGGTGGGAATTCCGCAGTCAGCTGGTGACCGCCTCGGGAAATAAGAGGCGGAGGATGTGCTGCGTAGACGTGGGACGACAGTGGACAGACCGGAGTCAACACGTAGGTAGAAGCCGGAAGGCGAGAGGAACGATAAACGACAGCAACCGTAATAACAGCACATGCTGCACGATCGGAGTCGCCAATTCAGCCTCATTTCATAAAAAACTAAAGGACCTAAAATATTCCGGATTTGTCGCTGCGTCAAGTGTTCAGTCACGACAATTATAAGAAGATTGATCGCGGAACATAGCCATTTATGGGCGATACAACGATATGAAAGTCTGAAAGTCAATGACACGGATGTCGGGCCATGTCTGCACTCGATCGCGGTATGGACAGCCTCTCCCAAAAAGAGACCAGAACTGGTTCCCAGCCCTCGACCTGCTGATATCCTCTTGGATGTACAGGCTGCATGACCATGCGAAGCGAACAGCCCACCGAAGCCTGACAGATGCCAATGGCGACCAGATGTTGAACCCGTACTGAGTATCGTCAAATAATTGTTACTTAGTACTACGACTACATGTCTTGTAACACGTATATGCTGGCATATCGAGGGTCGTCAACTGAACATACTTTGAACACATAGTGCCAAAAAAACATCAGCTTAAGACCTTTCTTTCTTAGGTCAAGGTGACAATGCACCAACACTAAACAAAATGTAGTTTAACAGTTTTTATTATTGCACGCAACAAGAAAAACTTGAAATCATTTTTCACTGTGTTAAAAAATCATATATGGACCTTTTGCCTCTTAGGAGCCTTTTGAAAATTAATGCGTGCAACTTCGGCGAGTTCCACGCGCTCCGTGACTCAATCCATCTTTGAAACATGAACATTTATAGATATGTCGCTTGCGTAACTACATGAAAACGACTTTTAAAAAAGCATTTCCTTGGCTCGATGGCACTTTCCATTCGATGTGTATGCTGTGGAGATTGCAGAGGCCAGACCAGAACACCGACAAAAAAGCTCAGTTGCGGTTTCTGGAGTTACAAGGGCAAAATGAGATAGCATTTGGATGCTGTTGTACCAAACCATCTGAATTCAGAGATTTTGCCTCTATGTCTTTCAGGTGTTTCTTTTTTGTAACAATAAGCTCCGGGATATCTTGCTCCAGTAAAATGGCTTGCGCAAAGAGGGTTTAGCGAGATCAAAACAGATGTGAATGAGATGATGAAGATGACACCAAAACCTAAACTGAAGAAGGCAAACGCCACTGGGACCAATGAAAATAATGGACTACATGGATGGTTCGGAATGTATCTCTTTCACTTGACTTTAAGAGACAGCAGGAGCACGACCAGGGGGAGGGCACCTCCCATAGGTCCGTTTTTTCAATCACAATAGGTGGCTCCTGACAACATCACAAATCGGCGCGATACGTTCTCACCGAAGTTTGCACCCTTTCAGAAAAGCCTGGCCGCGCCCCTGCCAGACAGTGAGTCACTGACGTAGCCTTCACCCGGTTTTACAAACGTGGCCATGCATCTGGCAGGTCAGGCTAGGCACTTTCGTCAGCGAACTCAACGCATCCTTTATTATTGACATTTTGGTTTGCTGTCATCAAAGCGGTACGGAAACGTTTTATGCGTTGAAATCGATTGCAGTGAACTGGTGGGCTTGCCTAGCGTGTACGTGGCCGGGCCCGTGCACAGTGACGTCATGGTACCGCCTTCGCCCCCGTTATGCATTTAATCGTCCACTAAAAGGCTGGGAGCACGCGAGAGGGCCAGGCCCTTGACACCCGAGAACACATGTATGTTGAAACGGTAAACGAAAACGGAGAACTCAGCATGTGTGACCAACCTGCAATTCTGCAGGCCCGGCCTGATCCTTGGCATGCTTAAGTGATCGGTTGCCGTAGGGTTGATTACAAAACGGAGCTAAGACAGAGTGAATCATGCACCGTGGGCAAACTTGCATGCGCAATAGCAACCGTTATCCGTACCGCAATGGAGTTTTCAGCTGCCAATAACATAACTTGCTAAGAATTGTACGGTGATATTTTCCAGGTTCTTGAATGTGCCGTGTTGAATCACGCGCTGACCTTCAACCCTCACCATCAACCACCTGCTCCATTGATTAACAGGGGAAAGGTAGAGTTACCGTGTCACGAAAAGCTAAAGGACGTGGGTCGGGAGCAGTTCCAGACCTCGGCGGCTGTGGGTCTGGCAGGGAGACTACGATGAGTAATGCTGACAGAAGAGCAACAGCATACTAACATTGGCAAAGTGCGGGATGATGTGTTGCGGAATACAACGCGTAATCGTGCGCAAACCAGGGATCCGCCACTTTTCTTGCGTTTTAAGGTGATCTCAGGTTTGGCGAATCAGAGCAGGTGGCAACCGGAATCTATCTGTGCAATCCAGTGTAAACGAGCGTACCGTCTGCAAATCGCTGGGTGATCTTCATCCGTGGGTACGCCAGTAAAAGATCGTCGGAAAGCGGCCACTGTCGTCTGTTCCGAAGCCGGCCCCCTGTAGCCCAAACCGAGTCACATGAGGCCGTATTAACTATACCAGCGCATGCCTTAATTTGTCGTGATCGATACACATCCAAAACCTTCCCCTGTTCCCAACACTTTTGTCACTGTCACCAATGATGTAAGACATTCCGACTTCATTCAAGTCGTCCGCTGAAGCTGCTGGGCCTTGGCAGGAGGTATGCAGGCAACCAAAATCCCAGCCAGGTGGATTGTAAGCTTGTGTTCGGACGCAAAAAATTAGTTCACCGCTACCCACTGAGCCCATGAAAGGGCGGTGTTCCATTGCATCGATAAGTCCTATTCGTATCGCTTTCCAGAGGTTACAAGCCCCATTCATTTTCTTAGGTATCATCTACGTGATAGTGATAAGCACGTGTGTTACCATCTCGCTCGTCCCGCGCCGCAAAAGACCTCTGACTGGTATGATAGAGGTAACAATTAGCTGGTCAGTCGTCACCCAGGGAAAGCCTGAGGTTTCACGAAAACGATACGGAGCGATACGATGCGAGCTTTATCTGCGTGAGGCACCGAAAGAGAGACGCTCTCGGAACGGGTCTGTCCACAAAAAGCCGGAACGAACTACGAACATTGGGTTAATCTGTAGTTGGTGCACACATTTACGAACAGCGTATAATGCGAATTATTTCCCTCTTTCAAGACTACCTTCCCCTCAATAGTCATCGCCGGTGAATGTTTCACTTGGCTGGGTTCGTGCCTTAGAGAAATGCGTAATCTGTCGACAACGAATTACGTGGTTACGCGGTTCACTTGAAGTGAGGATTTTCTTCGTGCGGTTTGTATGTTCACCCGCCTGTGTTGCCGAGCAGTCAGTGGCACAAATGAGAGTAAGAGCGTAAGTCGCCTTGCTACCGAGCCGCCACCGAACCACATTTGCTGTGGGGCAGCAACCACGTCTCCTCGCTTACTGACGGCTCGCGGATTCCCCACGCCCCGTGCGGAAGACGTGACGTGCCCTCTAACCAGGTGTGCATTCGAAGCCACAAGCGGTTCCAGGCACGCCGGGCTGCCCCGCGCCACAGGCGCTGTGACCCACATCGAGCCATCGCCTGAGACCCATCTCATTTGCATTCCGGTCAGACCGCTAGGGCTGAGGTGTGCGGCGAGGGCCCGCACCCTGGCGGCGCTGTCTGGAACTAGACGCCCCGCCGGGCCCCGGGTTTCCCAGCTCCGATGCCGCCGGCCGGTCCAAGGCCAAACATCGGAAATCCCACCATCATGCGATCCAAACGCCCCGGTAGCCGGGAGGCAAGAATAATTACTTCTGCTCACGAGAAGCTCTATTCCAAATATCTACCGGCGGAAAGGCCCAAGGAAGTGGAAGAGATTCGGATAGATGGTCAGGGGCGAGCTAGCATAATTTCTGCTGATTACACGTCAGATCAATGTGTTTTAAGCCAGCTTGAATGACGATGACATTGAATTATCGGATGCGCTCAACGGAGTGCATCGCGTTGCACTTCCTGTTTTCTGTAAAGAAACGTGCTGGAAGGCTTGGCAGCTGTTGCTCGAAGGGTGCCGTGTGTGATGCCAGTGGATTATGCGAATCATCCGAGCACGGTATCACGTGTCAAAAACACAACCCGCCTCAGTGGCTAGCAGTGCGGCAAACCGCGCTATGCACCTAATGACATTACTTGGTCTGCTCGATGAGTTGTGAGATCGTGCAAGGGAAGCTGTTTTTAGAACACGACACTGTACAAAGGGAATAATTTGGCAAAACGGCTTCATTGAGAATTGCGCGATTATTGCTTTACCTGCAACGTGTTTCATTTGAAATGTCAATCTTGAACAGTATAAAAGATTATTTACGAACATGCTACCTTATGATACAGACATGTCAAGAATTTTTGCAATTTGTCATCGCCAGTGTTCAAGTACCTGCAGGAAGCCGCTGTGGAAGCGAAACGCTTCCACAGCGGCTTCCTGAACGGGACCGCGCTGCTACAAATATCCGGATTGGCCCGCACGCACTGGTGTCTTGGAAATGGCGTGTGGGCTGAGCGCGAAGGAAAGAGACCTGCATCTCTAGCTGCTAGACCACAAGGATTGTGTGAAACTACGGTCCTTGGTATGAAAGACACTAATATAGATATCTACCAATTTGCGTCAACATTTGCCAGATATTGCGTGCTGGGCCCATTTTAAGCAGCCTTACTTCCACTTTCAAAATTGGCGTTGCAAGTAAAACACCCCGGAAATTTTATAAACTTAATACATGTCTCTTGATTTTCTCTGGCACATTTCTTTTATATAAGTCATGTGTCGCGCTGAAATGCAAATTTTGGGACGGCCATGATGTGTGTGACAAATATTTATTAACATAAGTCCAAGAATTCCTTGAAAAACGCACTCATCGTAGCTTCAGCAGGGA